TAGTGGAAGAACTTTTATATTACATATGAGAGCTAAAAATATTATTAGAAATTTAAATTAATCTTTCTTCTTTGAGAATTCCTTTTAAAAAATAAATAAACTGATAAAAACTTAAATTGAAATTAAATAAAATTAACCATAAATAGGATAAAATAATGAACACATGAAATATAAAATTCTAAAGAACTCAAAATATTTTATTTTACTTAATTTAATTTCACTTCTATTTTCTTTTTTGTGATTTTATTTACTACGTTTATGTTCCTCTCTTAATTCATTTCAACTGATCAATTATGGTTTTCTTCTTCTTCTATTTATTTTTTTAGGGATTTTTAAATTTTAATCTTTTATCGTTACTGTTTATTTTATTATTTAACCCCTAATCCATTTACCTAATTATGTCTCAAAATTAAATGGACACCAGGTATCAGGTCGTCCAACCCATGCTTCCTAAATTATGGGTCCAATATCAGCCTGGCCCGTAGTCTATTCTTTCTGAACTTAGGCCCAACATCAGCCTCACAACCGACCCCAAAAAAAATAACCATTCAACAAAACCAGAGTGTTTCGCATGTAACTTGCCTTAAAAGCTTTAAAATAATATATAAAATATGGGAGAGATTATATTTACAATCCAAATAATTTACAAACTCTTACAACTATATCTTAACCGTTGATTTCGGCTAATCAACGATTCTCATTTATTGTGAATTAATAATTAATTAATAAATTTGATTTGCGAAAATCTTAACCGTTGATTGACGGCAATCAACAGTTAAAATATGATCGTAAGAAGTTGTAAATGAAAATAAGTTGTAAATATAACATTTTCCATAAAATATCGAGAGATTATTCTTATAATTTTTATTTTTATTTTATAATCTCTTACGGTTATACGTTATTTTGCTACTATTAGTTTGATTTTGATATAAAAAAGTGATAATAAAAACGGTAATAAGAAAAGATAAGAGAAAAGAAATTATAAATATAAAATACATAAAAATACAGAACGAGGGAATTATGGTAAAATCTAACACGACATAAGAGTTCACCTTAAAACATGAAAATCATTAAGAAAAGTAGAACAAGTAGATCGAGATAATTAAATGCAAAAAAAAAAAGGGGTATAGAATGCCATATGATCACTTGCAGCGATTAGGAACTCTGAGGTAGGTACTAGAATGACAATGAGACAATGATGGATTAAGGCAGGAACTGTACCGTTTCCTTCTTGGACAATCAATTGCTGGTTTTCCTCCATTTTTTGTGCCTGAAGTAATTTTGAGTTTAGAAGCATCATAAAGCATTCTGCTTAATCCGTGTTGATCCACCACCAAATTAGTTTGAACATCATGGGCAACTAGGCACTGAATGCCAACACATCCATAAGTGATATTGTTCTGTGAAGCTGAGTTAGTTCCCCTAGCAGAAGCCACAGCAGCTATGGTACGATATGGTTGGAATGGTTCTGTAAGCACTACAATAAGGAACAATAGACAAAGGAATCCCCTCATTTTTCAATTATGCCAATCCTCTTCTTGCTAACACCGACACAATAAGTCTCTATATAATAAGGAGCATATAAATGCTCCCTCACTCTGGGATAAGTTCTCCGTACTGTACTAAAAAGTAAAAACTAGTTGAAAAAATAAGTTCTATCCGTAATACATCCATTAAAACTTTAAAAAAAAAGGTTCATTTAATTTATTCATTTCTTTATTTTTAATAAGAAGAATATGTATTATAATCTATATGAGTACTCAACACCCAACCATTTCCTCTTTACATATAAATATAACAATTACCAAAAAAAAAAAAAAAATTCCTCAGCAGTGTTATATTTATATGTAAAATTTTAAATCTAAAAAAATATTCATTTCATTTTGCACGTGATTGGTTTTTTTTTTTTATAGAAAAAATTACTTTCTTTTAAGTCTTTTTTTTTCAGAAAAAATATGTTTGTTTTTTAAATTTCAAAATAAAGTAATCAAAACAAATTTAATCTTTTATTTACATTTTATGTGTATTTGTTAAAAGTATTCAGATTTAAATAATTTATATGAAAATTTGATTTTTGACATAATTTTAATTTTTTGTATATTTTTTTAGTAAAACAATTAAAAAACAACGTACAAACAAATTAAAAAAATACCAAATAGAATAAACAAAAGAAAATAGAAATGTCATGTTTCATGATACAACTTCTTTTTTCTAGTCACCCAAAAAGGTGAGACTCATTTAAAAAAAAGTTCTCTAGCAAGACTCATGATATTTATGTGTCTATGACATGACACAAGAAATATCATTTAACATTATATTCATAAAACTTATAAATAAAATGTTTCAACCAAAAAAAAATGTAAAAGCCCTATATGTTTAATTTTTAAAAATTATAATGTCAATCTTGCTCTTTATTTTTTGTTTATGAGAGATATTTTTATTTTCTTAATTTTATTGTTTGTAAAAAATATAAAATATTAGTATATAAAAAGGCAGTAACAAAAAAAAACAGTAAGGAACTGGGTCGGTGAACTCAATAAAGTAGGGGCATGATGCAAAAGTCACGGCAGATATGATGCACACGCGAATCTTAATACGGGTCCCCTACAAGAATGGAGCTTTTGGTGGCATATATGTATTTATTAAAGGAAGCATTTAAAAGCCTCGAAAATGGTTGCATTTGTCCTTTCAACAACAGCATGAAATATATTCATAATTAAATGAATGGCTGATATATATTATCTCAAACATGTCCGAGAAAGGGTATTCCTAAATCTTGAAGAGAGAATTTATTTAATTTAATTTTTATCATTTAATTAGTCTACTTTTAAATTTATATTTGTTCAAATCCGATCCAACGAAATTTTATCAATGAACATTAAATTTTATATGCAAATTTAGAATTATTTTTATAATTAAAAAAATTGGGTATTGTAATCATATATGCATAACTTTGATACCAAATAAAAAAGATAATTTTTAACCCATTAGATATGTGAAAAGCTGTTGTTTAATAATTTTAAATGTTTGTTAAAAATTATATTACGTTTTACTGATTGAGAACATTATATTAGGTTTTACTTTTTTTATTAATTTCATTGCATTTCTTTGTTATTTTTTTATGGGAAATATTATACTTACAACCTATTTTTGTTTACAACTATTTTTTAACCGTTGATTTCCGTCAATTAATGGTTATTATTTTCACAAATCAAACTCATTAATTAATATTTAACTTGGAAGTTAACCGTTGATATATGGTTATTATTTTCGCAAATCAAACTTAAACTCAAACTCATTGAGAAAATTATATTAGATTTTATTGATACGTGGAGAGTTGTTGCTTAGTAATTTTTGAGATAATTTTCTTTTTTTTGGTAAGCAATTTTTGAGATAATTTTCAACCCGTTGTTAAGTTTACTTTTTTTTATTAATATCATTTCATTTCTTTGTTATTTATTTTTATTGACTCTTGTAATTTTGAATATTTGCTAAAAATTCATATAATTTTTTAAAATCTTATAAATCTATATTGTCCTTTCAAATCTTATGAATCCTATTAAAATCTTTTAAAATTTAATCCTCTGAAATTTTGATGGTAAAAAAAGTCTCTTAAAAAAGCCTATAAAATCTCTCAAATTTTAAAATGTCTTTTAAAATTTGTAAAAAAATTTATCTCAATTTTTTTTTTAAAATCCTAATTCAATACAGCTGTCATTGTGGTAAAGTTGTAACTATAGTTAGTCTAGTGTGTGGTAAAGTTATTTTATTCTTTCTTTTCCCTGTTAGCTTTTTGGGTACTGTCGTTGCTTTTCTGAATAGTGTGTAAAGCTGACTGACGGTGTGCACCGATTCTTCCAATACAATTTCTTTCTTCATTTTCAGTATTCCGATTTAAGATTTCTGGCTAAGAGGAACAAATTATTTATCATTTGAATCGATGATTATTAATCAAGTATTGACAATTTTCATTCAACCATATTGTTACCTTGAGGTCTAAAACAGCTTTGAATTAACCAACAAATATATGCTCTATAAATACGGGCATATATTGTATATTGGGATACTGACCAAAATGTCACTGTTCATCAACTTTTTTACTTAAATGTCACGCGAACAGTGTTATTTTCCAATCTGCCACGGGGGCAAATTCGCTTCTGACACAAGCGATCTCGGTTTGCTGACGTGTCACAATTTTAGTGGATAACAAGTATTAAATTTAAAAAAAAAAATTCAAAAAAAATGAAGTTCGCCTACCATGTAGGCGAACTTGGTTAAAATATTGTTGGAACCGAGGTCGCCTGTGTCAGAAGCGAACTCTGACACCACCAGGAAGCTGACACATCAGCAAACTGAGGTCGCTTGTGTCAGAAGCGAACTTGTCCCGTGGCAGATTAAAAAATAACACTGTTCTCGTGGCATTTAAGTAAAAAAGTTGGTGAACAGTGGCACAATGGTCACTGTTCCTTGTATATTCACAATAGATTCTTAATCATAATTAAGCCAAGCATGTAGAATAAATCAAATCATTTACCTCCTACAATAGCCTATTGTAATTTATGCCACACACGCAGAACAAATTTTGCCTGGCAATTCTAGCCCATAATAGGTAAAATAAGGTATACTTAGTTGACTGACTTACAACTTAATTTCATACAAAACTCTTTTTCATTTTCATCAAGGAATGTTGTGGCATTTTTTTAGCCTCAGAGTATCTTATGGAATCACAGCAATCAGCTCTCTAACATAGAGAGTCGTATGGTTGCTTAATGTTATTTGTAACACGATTCTCCTAAAACTCTATAATTTTCCTTAACAAAAAGACAAGAAAGTGTTCCGTTCCGAGTGAAGAATGGAATATTGGATATAATTTCATTAAATATTCACAATGACTACCTTCGAAATTTCTTAGCAACCGATACGGCAATGCAACTCTGACTTCTTTGACCTCAAAAGTGTTCCCTTCGTTTGCCTTGTCTTTTCCTCTTGCAGATGAATATAATTATTAAAGTTGTTGTAGTTTTATAAAGTAAGAGTTATAATTAATCATGGTGCACTTGAGCTTGAAAAACTTCGGCCGTGTTGCTAAATCATCAAGGTTCAGTTTCTCTTATCTGATATTCTCATTCCTTAGGCACATGTTCATAATCCCCGTTAACTCTTACACCCTTGTATTAGTCCCCGAAGCAAAAACCAACCATGGTTCATTAGATTCCTCAAAGAGTGACAAAACAATATTTGATGTTGTTTTCTTCGGTGCACTGGTTTCTGCTTTCATTTTGGTCCCTGTTGTTTTCTTCTTGTGTAATTGGTTCTGGCAAATAGGTAATAGAACCAAGCGCAAGACAGAGGTGGAGATGCTCTCTGAAGAGATAAGCAATAAAAGTAGATCAATGAAGCCTTCAGATACGTGCCGTTACTTTTCAATCAATGAGATAAGAGCAGCCACTATAAACTTCGATGATATTTTCGTTGTTGGAGTTGGTGGTTTTGGAAAAGTGTACACAGGATACATTGATGATGGAACCACACCTGTGGCAATCAAACGCTTCATACCAAATCGTGGACAAGGAGTTCAAGAGTTCATAACAGAGGTTGAGATGTTGTCTCAGCTTAAACACCCTCATTTGGTTTCTCTAATAGGTTTTTGTAACGATGAAGATGATATGATTATTGTTTACGATTTCATGGCTAATGGAACCTTACGTGACCATCTATATGGCTCTTCAAACACACCTTATCTTTCTTGGAAGCAAAGGCTTGAGATTTGCATTGGGGCAGGGCTTGGATTGCAGTATCTCCATAATGGTGCCAAGTACAGCATAATCCATCGAGATGTGAAGACTTCAAACATTTTGTTGGATGAGAAATGGGTGGCTAAGATTTCAGATTTCGGGTTGTCCAAAATTGGACCCAATGGGATATCAAAGTTCCATGTTACCACACAGGTTAAGGGTAGCCTTGGATATTTGGACCCTGAATATTCAAAGACTAAAAGGTTGACTCACAAGTCTGATGTGTACTCTTTTGGTGTGGTGTTGCTTGAGGTATTGTGTGGTAGGCCACCTTTGATGCGTAAAGTGGAGGGAATACAGAGAAGTCTTGTGGAGTGGGCCCGAGCATGCCACAGTGAGGGACCACAAGCCTTGGACCAAATGATTGATCCATTTATTAGAGGAAAGAGTGTGCCAGATTGTTTGTATAAGTTCGTTGAGATGGCACTCAATTGTGTTGTTCATGATGGAAATCAACGGCCATCGATGAGCGATGTGGTAGAGGGACTTCAGCATGTTTTGCAGCTACAATACAAGAGTGCATGGAAGAAGATCCAAGGCTCGAAGGGACCCATTAATGACCAAAGATTTCTATATAGCTTGAGAAGAAAAATGATATTGAGTAAGTCATTTTTCCATCTTTGATATTGTATATTCCATGATGTCTTAATTTAAAGTTTCATTTGCTTGAAAAAGAAAAAAAAAACTTTATTTCGGAGAAAAATGAAGGCTTTCTTACTATTGGAGATGTAAGACCCACCTTAAGAGATTTTTGTGTTAATTAACATCATACTAAGTGAATGTAATCAATTTTTTAATGTATACTTTTTGTTGATAATGATTTTTCAAATTTTAAATGAAAATAACTAAGTTGAGAGTGAAATATTATTTAATGATATAAATTTTTTATAGTAAACCGTTTAAGTGAACATGAAATAATTGAAAGAATTATTCACATGAGAATTAGAGTGGGGTAGCGGAGACTTGACAGTTGAGGTGACGAAACTTTTATAACTTTTTTTTTTTTGTATAAAAAACTTTTATAACTTTTGACCTCTTGATAAGGAGCTCATTTTCCAAAAATAAAAGGAAAAAAGGATTGGTAGATGATTTAGAAGGAAGAAAGGAGTATAAATGAAAAAAAAAAATATTTTCTTTTTTAATAAAAGACCATCAAATAGTATTGTGTTCCAAGAGCACATTAAAAAAATCCCTTGATAAGAGTTGTTTACGGAAAATGATTTTTCTGATTCTTTTGATAACATAATTAGTGTTAAAGTTTATTACTACATTTTAATTGTTAGAATATAAACTCCCTCAGGAATCAGGATATAAGCTTTATGTTGAATTAAATTACATAAAGAATTAGAAAATAATCTTTCTTTTCACGAGGTGAAGAAAATATTAAATAAAATAATTTTATCATTTGAATATATGATGGAACGGTCTAACTAGCCAGTAACATGACCTTTTTTTTAGGATTTCCAGTGGGTGTCTTGAAAAACTATGAGTAGCTAACTTCAAATATACCTAAAGATTGCAGGTGTTGATCTTTGAGTTACTTAGAAGATCTACAAGACCTTTGAGCCAAGCAGTGATGACTAGTACAAAGTATTTTGTTTTTATGCAAACACAAATGATGACTTCTAAAATTTCAACAAGAAGGTGATATTTTTTTGCCCATTATATATTTGAAATTTGCCAAAAACAAGTAGCTCCATCATGATTGTTGAATTTAATTTAACCTGTCACCATTATTACTGCAGAAAAGCGAAAACAGCATTTGCATAACTATATCAGAAGCTGGGGTTTGTGATACAATGGCAAGCCATAATGGTTTCAATGACTGAAAATTGCTTGTTACTATGCTTTCTAGGGTGGTGTGCAAGCTTGTGAAGTTGATCCAGGCTGAAACAAATAAATCAATATAAAAGAGTTAGTAGTTTTACATTAACTTAATTATGTATTTATACTTTATAGAAACCAAGAGTGAAGTTAAATTCATTTACCACACACGTATGAACATCATCACATCCACATAATAGCTCCCCATTGAGAGTGTCCGCAGCTTGAAAGGACCCTCCTCCCTCACTCCTCTGCATAATAACCCCCCAAATTAGAAGAATATAAGGAATATGAGTAAAAAATTGATGCTTTAGCAACAAAAGGAAGAGAAAAATGTTTGCCTAAAACACACCTTGTAATAATCAACAGCAACAAAATTAGCCCACCGGTTACCAGCAGCACCATAACAAGTTTTTAGCATGTCAACAAGTACTCCAGAATTATCTTCACATGTAATTGGCTTAAGTGGAGTTGATCTAAAATAGTTTACCAACACTAAGGATTTGCTTGTGTCATTCATAGGAGATGATTCCGCCCTGTTTGGACAGCTTCCTGCATTCATTCCTCCATCCCCATCTGCAGAATTGAAGATAAGATAATGCACAAAAAGAAAATTGACAAAGGAGTCAAGAATAAATGCTTGTGGTAATAAGCTTACCAAAAAAAAAATGCTTGTGGTAATAATGAAAGAGGTTTAATAGATGGTGTTTTCTTACACTGATTCTCAACCATGTAATTCCACTGGTAAGCAATGCCTTCACTTTGTTCCTTAGACCTGATAGAAGTGAACACTAATAATCTTTGGTTTTTGGCAACCATATCACTCACAAGAGGCCAATCTCCACCATTTTTCGGCATGCTTGTCAATGGAAACCAATACTTCATCAGGCCAGCATCAGTGAAGACCTTTGTCAAACCATTTGGGGCTTGAACATAATCTTCCAAGATAATTGTGACAATTTCTGTTGGATTTGCTGATAAAAAAGCTTCAATTTCCTTCAGTGTGTCTATAGCAGGTTCCTACTAGTTAATCAAAAGTTAGGATCTAAATTGCAAAATTATGCTCCAAATTTTTTTTAGGAAAGTATAAACCAAAATTGGGTAGATGACTTTAACATACAAAAGCTGTAAAGTCATGGCATTGGCCTCCAAATGAATGGCATAACCACACATCTCCCTCAAAATCGTATGTATCCAGCATTAGTGCCCGAACTCCATTCTACAAATTAACCATTGTAAAAACAAAAGTGGTGACTTGAACATTGCTTGTAAGAATCCAAGCAATATAGAAAAGTAAAGATATCTAAGCTATGCTTAGTAGTACTGAATCACATACATTTAGCTGTTGGGTGACATTGTCTTCTTGGTTGGTGAAGGTTACACGAGGCACATCTGTATGAGATGGCTCCCCATCAATGGCATAAGAGTTGTGTGTTGTCAAAAATGCATATTTGTTGAACGGTAGAGAATTATTCTATCAGGCAAAAAAGAAGAAGCAATTAACATGATATTAAGGTCAGAAGCATCCAAATTTTATTGTCTTTTCTATTTTTTTAATAGATTGTGCTTCTATCTATCCTTCGCAAATTACATGAGTCCATGTATCTATAATTATTTACCCATATCATGTGAAGCTGGGCTAGGAGGAGCCCGTGACAGGACACATCACTAGTGGGATACTAGACCAATCATATCAAATGGATCTGACACCATGGATCCGACACTATATAAGTTCTCTCACTTATATATACTTTACTTAGCATTACCAACTAATGAGACTCATAATATCCTAATATATGACTTATTTTTGTATTGCTCAATAGTAAAGAGATAGGTATCTTACTAAGAGCTTGAATTGATCTGTGATAGATGATCTCACACACCTAGAGCCTGCAAACCCAAATGGACAAGAGAAACAGTAGAGCCCAGTGCCACAGTCTCCATCAGAGGAGCACTCATCAAGAAGCTAATCAAAGATTAAATTGAAAACAATTAAAGATGAAAACAAGAAAAACATAACTGCAATATTTGATAAAAACAGAACACAGTGTGGGATACAAACCCTGCAAGCTCCATTAGAACAAGCACTAGCAACATTGTAAATGAGTGGAAGAATAAGCATAAGCAAGCATGGAAGAGAAAACATGTCGACAATGATTAAAGAAAGAGAATTGAATCACGAAATGAGGTCTGATTTATATGAATAAACAATGATGGATATTGTGTCTTGGCTGAGAAAACTAAGGAAATTCATAGGATTCTCATATCTCATGTTCATAGGTGTCTTTGGTCGATGGAATATTCCCAGACTTAAAGCCAAATTAAAGGCGAAGCCGTTACTACCCGGGCTTTAAATTTCTATTTGGGAAACGTTTTCTACTTTTAATATTGAGCGATTACAATTATGATAAATGAACACGAAAATTGATTTATATTATTCTCTAATACATTCCCCTTATGTAAGAGTTTTTTGGACTAGAAGCCACTCTCACACAAGAGTGCTTGGACTAAAATCGTGACTATAGCATAGGCCCAAATTTTTGTTATTTTTTGATGTGTTGGATAAAAACATTTTTAATAATTTATATTATTCTCAAACAATATACAATTATTATGTTATCAAGCATTTATGAAAACAACATTAATACTTAATTACAAAATGAACTTCTATATATATATACCCCTTTGAAGGTGACAGGTTAGCTGTTAGTGTCCCATCACTATTCAAGAAGGGGTTTAAAAAGGAAAAAAAACTCCGAGGCAGAGAAAAAAAAAAAAAAAACCAGGGTCCCAATTAAGGTTACTTTTCAATTGGCAAAAAATTAAATTCAGAATCAAATAAAATCTCATACACAGTAGAATCTATTCTACCCTTGAGATTCAACCACTTGAATCTTATCCCGGCAAAAAAAATTTAATTATTACATTTTAATTAAATAATTACGTATTTATTACAGTTTTAGAAATAATTATGGATCTATTGTATAATATGACGCCTCATTTAGGCGTCTCTTACCTAAGGGAAGACGCCCATTGGGCGTCTCTCACCTAAAGTTGACACATGTCATTTTTAAAATAATAATAATAATAATTTAATCATAAAACTTCTGAAGGCCATAACTTTTGACTCGGGTATCCAATTCAGGTAATTCTTTTTTTGATTCCACATAACTTTTCGAGATCTACGCAATGACATCTTATTTGATATATTTTATTTCTCACAAACATAATTTAAATTTAAATTAGGTAATCCTTCTTCCTTAGAGATTTAGAATATTTATTTAATTATTTCCTTTATCAATACAGATTTTTCAAATTGATTTTTGAGTTTAAATCACAAATCAAATCTTTATTTTTTTTCCTTATTAATAATAATTGTTACTTTTAATTTAAATCACAAACCAAATTTTTTTTATAATAAAAATAAAAAAAATTATTTTTTAAATTAAATCACACATCAAATCTTGATTTATTTTTTATATTAAATCACAAACGCAGAACTCAGAGGCTTCTGAGTTTAAAAATGTGACACGTGTCAACACCTGACACGTCACCAATCACGTCTAAATTGGGTTTCAATCAAGAGGCAATTACGCCTAATTTAGGTAATTTTTATGAAAAACATTCATAAGCCATCAGTAATTTCAGATCACGAATAATAACCCAGAAGCTTATAGCATTAATTATTAATTTCAAAAATAATATCCTTCTTCCTCAGAGATTTAGAATATTTATTTAATTATTTTCTTTATTTCTACAGATTTTTCAAATTGATTTTTTAGTTTAAATCACAAATCAAATCTTTATTTTGTTTTCCTTATTAATAATCATTTTTATTTTTATTTTTAATTTAAATCACAAACCAAATTTTTGTTATAATAAAAAAAGTATTATAAAAAAATTAAATCGCAAATCAAAATTTTATTTATTTTTTTATATTAAATCACAAACTCAGAACTCAGAGGCTTTTTGATTTAATCGCTCTTATAATACCATTCTTGCAAATTAAAATTGTGTTTGTGAGAAATAAAATATATCAAATGAGATATCATTGCGTAGATCTCGAAAAGTTATGTGGAATCAAAAAAAGAATTACCTAAATTGGATACCTGAATCAAAAGTTATGGCCTTCAGAAGTTTTATGATTAAATTATTATTATTTTTGGAAAAAAAAAATGACACGTGTCAACCTTAGGTGAGACACGTGTCAACCTAATAAGTATAAAAGGTGGAATTCACAACATCTCTGCTTTTATTTTCATTTTTTATTTTTTATTTTTTTTATACAAGTGAGAATTAAACACATAACTTAATATAACTTATCCAAAACCACTCACCACTAGACCAATCCTAATGGTTTTAATATCTGACATTTTTGAATGTCATTGAGAGATATATTTATGGAAATTTTAAGTTGCAATTTAAATTGACATAGTAATTACATATATTTTCATTTATTTGTGCTTTATGAACTTGTAGAAATGTGATTGAGAAATTTTTGAGTTTATCTAGTGAACCTTGTTTAAATCATTTTAGATACGAAAAATATAATTAAATTTATATGTTCATATTTATATATATATAATTATGTATCTGGGTCAATCGGTCTGACCAGTTACCTGGTACCTCGATCGGGTTGATACCTGGGTCGAATTTAATAACACTGAATCATACATCCAAAAGCAAAATAACTTTAACTTTTAAAAAAAATTCTATTGAAGAAACAATGAGTTTCTCTTTTCTTATGTCACATGAGGTAGCATCTCTCATGCCATAGACACACCAAGTGGTGAGGCCACCACTTGTTAAAAAAAACAAAAAGGATAACACAGATTTCGATATCTCCCAACATGAGAAAATTATCTCCTATTGCATGAGAAAATAATTTTCGAAAAACAATACTTAAAAAGCCTTTTTTTCAAAAGTTATTTAATCAAGAAATGCGGTGTGAAATTTTCTTAATTTGAGATAAGTTACTAGGAAGAAAGAATCAAAACTATATATGAATGATTTTTATTTTGAGTGGAGATGGAGAAAGGCTCGTCAAAGTTTTTGTAGACAAAAATTTGATGCAAAGTGAAGAAAATCATAAAGTTATTTGAGGACTGAACTTAGGTCATTCATTGTGACTGAATTAAAGGGATGTATTGGATTAGAATTTTAAAAGATTTTTTTAAGATAAAAAATTTCATAGATTTTAAAAGATTATTTAGAATTGCAGGGACTTTAAAGACTTTTTTAAAAGACTTTTTTTTACAATCAAGAATTCATAAGATTACATTTTAAAGGATTTTAATACAATTTATATAATTTGAAAGACAATATGAATTTATAAGATTTTAAAAAAATATATGAATTTTTAACAAACATTGAAAATTACAAGATTCAATAAAAAAAATAACAAAGAAATGCAATGATATTAATAAAAAAGTAAAACCTATTATAATTTTCTTACTCAGTAAAACATAATATAATTTTTAACAAACATTCAAAATTACTAAGCAATAGCTCTGCACATATCTAAAGATATGCTAGACGGAGCAAACACACAAAACAGACACAACCAAACATCCTAATTATTGCAATACATACAGGCTTTTCCCTTGAACCGTTGCTCTGATACCATAAAATGTAACACCTCGTGTATACCCTGTTTGTTAACATTACATCGTATTAAGCTGCGCTTAATTAAAAATTGCGGAATATCTTTTTCTTTTCCAATTATGACGTCATTATACTTAGCCAAGTTGATTACTTAATCAATTTCATAAAAATAATGCCTGTATGTAAATTGCAAGACAACTAACTGAAATACCTCAATATAAAAATAAAGAGTGAGTATCTATCACGGGTCCACACTCGGAGTCCGGACAATAATCCTGATTAATTATTACAACTCCCGACATAAGACTAAGACATAAACAGACTGTGTGTCATGGACAATCCCCATGCTTACCAAACAAACAGCAATAATAACAGAGTCTCCACATAATACTCCATACGTAAACTGAAACTAAAAGTATAAACAGCATGCAATCCAGCATAACAGCAGCATAATAATCATCAATCAACTAAGCTCTGGCCTCCTGCCACTAGAAGCCTCAATACTACCTGAACCTGAAATAAGCATTCCCCAAACGTGGGGTGAGATCTCTACACAAGAAATCTCAGTAAGACTAGGGGTCCTCAAGGATCTTCCATCCCCAGCTCACTTACATGTGCAATATAAGTTCAAAAAGCATTTATAACAATATCAGTTCTTCCAAAACTATGCAGTGCAACAGATATCTATGACATGTATGTTTATCACTATCTACTGGCCAGAGAAATGCAGGAATACGTTTAACCCCACATGAGTACAAGGAATACCGCTTGCACCTCACCCACATCCTCACCATCTTGTATGTACCACATACTCAGGCTTACCGTATAGGTGGAACATCACATGCATATCCATAAGGCACTAACATATAATAGCTCAACAGCATTTTCCAAAACATCAAAGGCATGAAAACACAGCACGCATATAACCATACCCCCATGGGACATTGTGGAACCATAACATGGCTAAACCGAGAAAGCTTACATGTACCCGTATGCCCCTCCGACTCGAACTCGGTATCACAAGGGTCCACACCACTAATAGAATCCAATGCACTCACAGATCTGGTTCAATGACCATCATAGTATCAATATACATATTCTGAAATTCCAAGGCAATCAGATATTATTTTCTTTTTTTTTTTTTTTTTTTAATTCGAACCGGATATGCTTTCTAAGATGTACCATTTAACTTATTTAATTTTGATGATTATTATTTTATAAATATATATATATTTATATATATATATATATATATATATATATATATATATATATATATATAAACGTATATAACTAAATATATATATCAACGTTAGTTAGTTATATATATATATAATTCAGCATATCTACCATTAAAGAATAACTTTCTGCACATCATAATAATATATTATATATAAACGAAAGCATACTTTTCTAAACAATAGCATGCTTTTCTCACGAATTTGAATGAAAGTGTCCCTGGGTAAACACGTTTTCCGAACCTGTTCAAATCAATTGGCTTCCTGGGTACAATATATGTATATGAATACTTCACACATTCTAAAAGTAAGCATATATATATATATATATATATATATAATATATGAATACTTTACACACTAAAAAGAGTAAGCATGCTTTTCTATTTTTTTTTCTAACTCCCTCGGTAAAGACTCCCTGGAGCTAACAATATATATATAAAAAAACAACATGAACCAACGTAAACCAGGTACTAATCGAATTCATGTAAAAAGATGCAAACTTTTCAATTTGTAATCACGCAACCCAATAAAGCCAAAGTGACAAAATAGATGGCCATATACAGAGAAGAGGTAGCACACAGTGTGCTGTGCGAAAGTCCCTTTTCTTTTTTATTAACATAGATTCTGAATCAACATTAACAAAGAACAAAGATTATACCCACAATTATAGATTTACAAAGGGGTAGTTAAATTTACCTAGGATCATTTTGGGAACAGAAAAATGAGAACTTTAGAGGTTGAGGAAGCACTCAAATCTTCAACAATGGGTTCTCCTTCAACAAAACTAAAGCTTTAATGGATGGGTGGTGTTTCAATGGAGGAGAGGAGAAAAAAATGAAAACTTTTAAGAAGGCTAGGAATTTAAGAAACTCCAAAGTGAAGCCACACTCAGCCGCTGAGTTTCTTTCAAAAAAAAAACACCTAGGGTTTTGTGCCCAACTATTGTATTTATAGGCCACTTAAGGGTTAAAACACACAGTATTAACTTTAATTGCTACGCTTAGCATTTTAATCTCAAACTTTGGATTCATAACCTAATCAATTTTACAAGAATTGCCATATTTTTATTATATTTTTCTGAGCACCTTTCCGGTACGCGTTTTTCATAGCCAGTATCAGTTTCTGGCATCAGTTCTCATTATTTGGACTTGAAACTCGTTTTACAAGTCCCATATATTATTATAGTAATTATCATGCACTTACATTACTTTTCTGGGATACTTTTTCGGTACGCATTTATACCGACTAGCAGAACCGGTATCTGCACTTTTCTTCCGAAAAGTGACTTTCAGCATTCTTAATCACTTATCATAATTATTAAAGCCTCTTAATAATTATTAGGGTCAATTATGGAATCATTTCATATTTTCACATAATTAATTAATTAAATACCTTAATTAACGGTGCGGGTTCTTACAAATGTATTCTGACGAAATATAGAGTTTATATTATGAAAGTTTCAATCTTTCTTTAAATTGATCTTGTTTTATTGATGTAAAACGAAAATTAGTTTAAAGGTTTTAGTTTCCCTGTTGTTTTTCAACTGTTTTATGTTATTTTGAAGGGTAGGATATTGTAACAACCAATTAGTGTTACTGCCAATGTTACTACCAATCAATTTCACCGTTAGATCGATTATGTTGATCCAACGGTTATATTTATTTCCATCTTTGTTTGGTTATGATTTCCCAAATTTAATGTGAAAGCATTAAATATGAGAAATCATAACCATACAAAAGTAAAAATAAATATAAAATATTAAATATAAGGAATCATAACCATACAAAGATGAAAATAAATATAACCGTTGGATCAACATAATCGATCTAATGGTGAAATTGATTGGAAGTAACATTGGTAGTAACACTAATTGATTGTTACAAAATAATTCCCCTATTTGTAATAAAAAAATACTTTTTTGTGCTAAGAAAAATCGCGATCCATAGCTTGAAAAATCATTTTTTAAACTTCCAAAAGCGCTAAAAAAAATATGCTATTTTTTAGATGGATTATAGTAGAATATTGTTGATTTGTTGTTTTTGGGTTGTTTTGTGATAAAATCACTCAAAAATATGTTATTTTTGAGCTTTGACGATGCTCCTATAGCGGAACCGGGTTTCGAGTGAGTTAACTCGCCAAAGGAAGAAGAAGACACTACAATAGAAAAATCTCAACAAGTCCTAGAGGTTTAGGTGAGATTGTGAGAGGGGTCTCCTATTTATATTTCTCATTAAAAAATCTCATGAAATCCACATCAATAGAAAATCCATTAAAATCGTGAGATTTTTAAAATACTAATCGAATACCACGTGATTTTTTTTTTCAATTCTTTAAAATCCTAATTGAATACCAATAAATTTTTTTGTTCAAAAATAATAAATCTAATAACCCCTAAGATAATCCTTCGCGCAATTATCTCAGCCCTACCTTCTTTTAATTTCAAGCATTTTACTTGTATTTGCATCTGTATTGTTTTTTTATTTTATGATTTTTTTTTTTGAACTCAGAATAATTTTCCCCCAATTGGTTCTTTCAATCATAAAATTATTTGAGGACTGAACTTAGGTTATGCAAGCTGACCAGACCATTTGACCAAAATACCAAAAAAATAATAAATTAAGAAAAAAAAGTGATACTGGTTGTTCATGATGCAACAGCTGAGAAGTAATCATCAATCACATTATGAGAAACATACACACCAGTGTTGTTACTCAATTACAAGTTTTGCACTTCACTGTCAAACATTAATCACATTTTGAGGGCTTTTTGACCCTTATAATTTTTTATTAATAATTAATTATCAAATTGACTTTTATTTTAAACTATTTTAAAAATTTAACCCCCTTCAAAAATATAACACCAATCTGCCATTGTTTGACCGTTGACCACCAAGCCTATCCAGGCACACCCCTCCCTACCCGGGTATTTTTTGAAATTTTTTGCCTACCCAAATAGGGAGGGGTGTACCCGAGTATTTTTCTTGGCACCTGGGAAATTGCTTGAATTATTTACCCGGGTAAGAAGGAGTGTACCCGGGTAAATAATTGCTTATGATACTTTCTGCCTATTTTATGATTTGCTCTTTGAAATTGGAGCTGGGATCTGTGACATGTTTGGGGGCGCTTGATTGACTTGCTTGGATGTTGTTTCTTGATCGGGGTTGTCCTGGCAATGAGATTTTTATATAGAAGCAACATGATGAGAGGAGGAGGAGCCCTGTGCAGCTTTCCAAGGTTTTTATTGTAATCTGGCTCAGAAATTCAATACATTTACTTGCTTCTATGGTTCTTTATTTTCCTAGCTTTTTGTACTTGATCAGTTTTTAGGGCGTGACAAAGATGATGGTTTCCGTCGCAGTGCTGTATCCGGCAAGAAGGTACTGATATGTTCTTTAACTGTACTTTTTTTTTGTCCCGTTATTGGTAGTAGGCTAGTAGCGATCTTGAATCTCCCTTCTTTTGTTTCTTTGTAGATTCTTCTGAAACTTGAAAAAACAAAGATAAGGTAGCTGAATCTCCTTTCTTTTGTTTATTTACGCATGGCGCTCCCTTTCTCTGATTTCTCGTTGCTGATGTCGAATGCGTATATATATGGAGTATGAAAATTTCTTGTACATATTCATTAACAACTTCTTTTTTTTTTTGTATTTTAAAAATATTTAAAATATCTATACACTGATTAAATGATTTATCTGGATCCAATGTCATTTAAATGATTTTAGACATTTGTTGCTGATTGTTCTATATTTCTTTTTAATTGTGAAGTTTGTTGTCCCTCTACGTTGATGTTCTTCACATGTCACGACTAGTGATATAAATGGGCCAAGTTAGACCAGACTTTGACTTTGATAGCCTAAGCCTAAGCCTAAGCCTATGTAAAATATTTAGAGCCTATACTGACCTATTAGCCTATTAAAGACTTGATTTATAGGTCTAGCCTGACCTATTATAAAAAACTAAAAAATCTAATTCGACCTGTAAGGCCTACCAAGTTGCAAATTAAAGTTTATAGGCCTCAAACCAAATTAAAATATAAAAGATAAAAAAAAATATTCACAAAGATCACATAAAATAAATTTTCATTAATATCACATGAAATAAATTTTCATTAACATCATATGAAATAAATTTTCATTAATATCACATGAAATAATATTAATAAAGATCACATGAAAATGTTCATAAAAATCACATGAAAATTTTATATATGTATATATGCATATAATTTTCACTTTCATTACTAATTTAATTTTATATTATATTTTAAATTTTAAATAAATATTTATTATTTGTTAAAGTAACATCAATCCTATTACTTTATAAATTTTAAGTAAATTTTTTTCATAATAGATTTGTATAATTACAAAAATATTTTGATAATTTGATATGTCAAATTTTTTATCCCGGCTAAAATTAAACCTTAGCTCCGCCACAAAGCAAAAGCCACTAGTAGATCTTCGATTATCTACATCAGATCCCCAGTCAGAATCACTGTATACAGCAAGGTGAAAGTGTGTTGAAGGTTGAATGGTAAGACCATGTGAAGTTGTGCCACTACCAAGTTCATGGACTTCAAACTCAAGCTGAGAGTCTTCGAATATAAGCCCACTCAGCTTAGGGGGTGAAAGGATACACTAGTGAATGGGCAAAGCCCAGTCAATTAGTTGTTAGTTATATTAGTGAATAGTAGTTATGTTAGTTAGTTAAATCAGTATATAAGGCTGTGTGTATTCAGTAACAAAATGTAATTGTTTTCATAATATTCAATACAAGAAATCGTTCCAGAATTCTTTTCTTTTTTACATGTTCATCTTATCTTCACATGAAAGGAGCAGTAAGATTGTAAGCAGAAATTATCATGTAAACACAATCATACAAAAATAACTTCATTTTTATTTAATATCAAAAAGGAAGAATGTTCAAGTTCAGAGAATATTATCTATAATCATTGAGGGAAAACAAGTTGTGCCCTGCTTATTTGTCTGGTTAACAAATGATAATGAAAACAGAGAGCTGATATAGTAAAAGATAGTAAAAGAAAAAGAAAAAGAAATTGGGAAAGTCACTTGCACCTGATATTTATTTAAGAGTTATATTTATTCCATATTACATAAGAGAAGCCAATTTCCTACACACACAAAAGAGGTGGATCCCACCTCTATTTTTTCTTTCTCCTCTTACCTGTGGGTCCCACTTATAATTTTGTTTCTACATGAACCTTGACTTGATAATTTATTATAATCCTTGTGATCTTAGGAATAGACATAAGGTAATTATGCAATCTTGAAACTCTGAGAGAAATTTTTTCCTACAACATAAGAAAATTATTTTCCTTTATTTAATCTTTTCAACTTTAATGCTTAGTTCAAAAATACAATGGGGATGGCACATGTTGGACTTTGTGGTAATCCTCTCCAGCAGTTCCAAGCCTGGTCTTGAATGAATTAGGCATCCATGTGTTCTCTAACTCCCGGAGACCAGCAACAAATCTTAGTCCATTGGGAACAGTTTTTAACTTGTTACAATCAGATATGTCTAATCGGTAAAGATCAGGCATGGCTTGATTCTCTACTGTCCACTCCTCTAAATTAGGCAAGCCACGAAGTAGTAGAACTTTCAGTTGAGGAAAACCATTTTGTGAGCATACCATTTTCTTTCCAACAAACATTTCCCACCCACTCAGGAACTTCAAGTTAGGAAGCTTCTCTAATGTAACCATTGGGTCTTCCAGAAGTCTACAACCCCATAAAGTTAACTTTGCTAGTTGCGGAGGAAATAGACGGGCTTCTGGCAGCTTTTCCATCCTCCCTTCTACATGCAGTTTAAGGAGGGAAGGACATCCTAGCACCAATTTTTCAACATCTACTGCTTTGTCAGGGAAAGAAAGCATGTCAGTCCTTAAGGACAATGATTGAAGGCAGTCTAACATTTTATTAGGGGGACTGAAACTTTCACTAAACTTTTGAAAGTGCCTTGGGTCATTCAGTACTAATTTTCTGAGCTTTCAAAAATATGCTATTTTTTAGATTGATTATTATAATCTTGTTGGTTTGTTGTTTCTGAGTTATTTTGTGATGAAGCTCCCATGACGGAACCGAGTTTCGAGCGAGTTAACCCGCCAAAAGAAAAAGAAGACACTGCAATAGAAAAATCTCAAGAAATCCTAAGGTTAAGGTGAGATTGTGAGAGAGACATCCTATTTATATTTCTTACTAAAAAATCTTACAAAATCCACATTAATAGAAAACTCAATAAAATCGTCAGATTTTTGAATACTACAAGATTATTTTTTCCTTATTTAAAATCCTGATTGAATATCAACAGATTGGACGAACTCTAAAATAATCTTTTAAAAACCTAATCAAATGCCACGTGATTTTTTTTTTTCAATCCTTTAAAATCCTAATTGAATAACAATAAATTTTTTGTCCAAAAATAATATATTAAAATCCAATACAGCCCTTCAGATAATCCTTCGCGCAGTTATCTCATCCCTACCTTCTTTTAATTTCAAGCATTTTACTTGTATTTGCATCTGTATTGTTTTTTAATTTTATGATTTTTTTTTTTTTTGAACTCTTCATTTCTATTGGTTCTTTCACCAAAAATTTGATTCAAAGCGAAGAAAATCATAAAATTATTTGAGGACTGAAGGTTATGCAAGCTGACCAGACCATCTGACCAAAATACCAAAAAAATAATAAATTAAAAAAAAAGTGATACTAGCTGTTCATGATGCAACAACTGAGAAGTAACCATCAATCACATTATGAGAAACATACACACACCAGTGTTGTTATTCAATTACAAGTTTTGCACTACACTATCAAACATTAATCACATTGTGAGAGAAATACACATATCAGTGTCTGTGGTTTTGCACGTTAAACAAATTCAATTGGATTCATCAAAGCACCATGCAAACAAACACTTATAACAAATACAGAGGTATACCACCGAAAAGATCAGGTTTAAAACTTCAGCTTCTGAAGCACAAGAGTAAGGATGACACCTGTTGCTTTACTGCAAAAGGAGCATTAAAATTGTAAGCAGAAAATATCATGTAAACAAAGTCATACAAAAATAACTTCCTTTTTCATTTAATATTAAAAAGGAAGAATGTTCAAGTTCAGAGAATATTATCTATAACCGAAAACAAGCTGTGCCCTGCTTATTTGTTTGGTTAACAAATGGTAATGAAAATAGAAAGCTAATATAGTAAAAGCAAAAGAAAAAGAGATTGAGAAAGTCACTTGCACCTGGTATTTATTTAATCTTTTCAACTTTAATGCTTAGTTCAAAAATACAATGGATGGCACATGTTGGACTTTGTGGTAATCCTCTCCAGCAGTTCCAAGCCTGGTCTTGAATGAATTAGGCATCCATCTGATCTCTAACTCCCGGAGACCAGCAACAAATCTTAGTCCATTGGGAACAGTTTTTAACTTGTTACAATCAGATATGCCTAATCTGTAAAGATTAGGCATAGCTTGATTCTCTACTGTCCACTCCTCTAAATTAGGCAAGCCACGAAGTAGTAGAACTTTCAGTTGAGGAAAACCATTTTGTGAGCATACCATTTTCTTTCCAACAAACATTTCCCACCCACTCAGGAACTTCAAGTTAGGAAGCTTCTCTAATGTAACCATTGGGTCTTCCACAAGTCTACAACCCCATAAAGTTAACTTTGCAAGTTGCGGAGGAAATAGACGGGCTTCTGGCAGCTTTTCCATCCTCCCTTCTACATGCAGTTTAAGGAGGGAAGGACATCCTAGAACCAATTTTTCAACATCTACTGCTTTGTCAGGGAAAGAAAGCATGTCAGTCCTTAAGGACAATGATTGAAGGCAGTCTAACATTTTATTAGGGGGACTGAAACTTTCACTAAACTTTTGAAAGTGTCTTGGGTCATTCAGTACTAATTTTCTGAGCTTTTTCAATTTCAACAGATCTTTTACATCGCATTTGCTGGCAGGAAAATTCACTAGTGTCTGCAAGTTGATCAGATTTTCCAGTTGCATGTTGTTAGCAACATTCCCACACCAATTTGGAAGATATAGATGTCTCAACCGTTTCAACTTCCATATTACATTCGGAATTTCTACAGTTGAATCCCAGCTCACTTTGTTGATAGTTTGCAAATTTAGAGACTGCAAATTCTCCAAATTGCCCAAGGAAGATGGCAATATTTGGATACGAGTTCTTTTTAAGCTCAGAAATTTCAACCAGAACAGATTTCCAACTTCTTTAGGCAATGACTGTCCCTTTGGCCCCTTAATTCCTTCAAGGTCTAGAACTCTGAGTAATTTGAAGTTCTCAAAAACACCTTTGATTAGCTCCCAGTATTCCAATCTACATTTCTTATCATGGAAATAGACAAGAGATCTTAAGTGTTGATTCACTTGCTCGTTATGTGGAAACAATTGATAAACATGTTGATCCAAGAAGACAGCAAGTCTGCGAACTCCACCAGTTTGTCTTGCATCTGATAGATTAGATGAGGAAGCAACATCAACGGTTTTATTTTGCTTTGATCCACCAATGATGTAAAGAAAATGCTCCTTTTTGGCCTTTGACAAACACAGATCACGCATTAAATCATGGAGCCTGCAGGTTTTAATCCTTCCAGTAGACCCCATTTGACCAACTTGAACCATGCAGCGGCTTATTAAGTTACCTAGGTAGCGTTCAGCAACATCCTCCATTGTCTCATCCCTTTCAATCTCATATCGAGATGAAACAACACCTTCTGCTACCAACAACTGAATTAATTTGTTTGTTGGTATCTCAGAGTCTTCAGGGAATTGACTTAAATAGAGAAAACATGGTTTCAGTTGAAAAGGCAAGTCATGATAACTAAGATCCAACACCTCAACTAATCTTGACTGTCTTTCATGTACCTCACCTCTTATTAGGTATGAACTTATATATCTGTGTATCATTTCCCACTCGTTGACCGTCTCCTTTGTAGCCAAAAGCCCTCCAAGCACGACAATAGCCAAAGGCAGACCAGCACACTTTGCAACCATTTCTCTGCCTAATCTTTGAAAGTCATTGCAAATTGTGAACTCTGCAAAAGTCATATGCTAATGCTCACGTTAACAGAACAATGGTACTATGAACATGCTTACAGAAGTTCTGCCTTAATACATGCAAAAAAAAAAGTGAGGTTTTTACACATTGCCATGTTTCCATACAAGGTATGCAGAAAAAAATGATACAACTTTTAATCTTAACAATAATTACTACTCACCAAATAATTCAATGTTAAAGAGTATAAAACCTTTCTTTTAGAGTCATATTCTTAAATATACATCAACAAAAAGGGCCATACCCAAAGCAAGCCAATTGCTATTAACCAGACAAAAAGCAGAAAGTTCCTGCCCTCCTCTGTTTCCCATTTAGACTCCAATGCATTTTATAAAGTAAAACAATAAAAAAAAAAAAAAACAATGATATGACTTCCTATTAAAGATCTATATCAACTCTTGAGCAATCAAAATTTTAGAATCAAGAAAAATTCACTAGCCTGTGAGAATCAAGTCCTAACAAAGCAAATGGTCGCGATAATATTAACAAAGCATGTAAAGAGTACACAACAGTTAGAATAATATATGAATCAATGTAAACTCATCACGCATGGTGATCTAACTTGGTTCCTTCAACACAATCCCCCGCCCCCAATGAATGTTTCATTTATGAAGAAAGCAAAAAGAGCAAATGACGGTCAAGCCAAAACTCTAAATACTCCTTTAAGGATCAATGATATTTCAAAGACTAGTGCTAGAAGAAGGAAACAATATTACGAGAATCTGTATGAAACTAATCCATATTTTTTTTTTTCTTTCTGAAATGTTGTGGTTCTCTGCATCTGCCTCATAAACAAAAGCAAGAGAAAAGAAATCTGCAACTGTTCCATCTCAAACCCAACTAAGTGACAGTCAAGACTAGGTATTTCCTAGTTCCTACATTATGTATTAAACTAATTACTCATATGTATCTTGTTCTCCAATGATGGTTATACTTAGAACAGTACTATAACTACTTTTGTTACTTCACAAAAAAAAGAAAGAATATAATCTCAATATATAAGGAGAAAATACTTCAAGCTCTCTCATTTTTTTTTTTTTAAAAAAAAATCTATTATATAAGACTTATATTGTTGTATATAGAGCTGCAGAAAAATGTGTCCCTCCCTCTAGAACCCAAAGGAATGAAGAATATGTTGAAAGTAGTAATTCAGTGCTTTTAATGTAGTTTAACAGAAATTTCATTGTTAACTACCAGATTCTTTTTGATGGATGGAGATATAATACATTTCATATGAAAGGAGAGCACCTAAGGTTTTGTTAACTTTCAAATTTCCTTTTAAATTGCAATAGATGGCTTTAAAAGGGCTTTGCTATTGTTTAAATACCAGAAGGACCACATATTATAGTCAATTAAACAACAAAAAATCACAACTTAATTTTCTCACATTCCTTCAGTGATCACATAACATAATTATGGAAGATTAGTGAGAGTTCAGGGAATCAGAATTAACCAAAATAGTTTGAAGTGTGCATGATGAAAAAATTAAACAAACTAAATGGACATTTCAAGGTTAAATAAGCTTGCTCACTAAAGACATTCATAGGAATTGAATCTGAAATATATTGTATATTCAAGTGTGTAAGTCTGTACAAGGAGGCTCTCTATTTATAGAGACTAAAAGACCTAGTGGGATGACCTAATGGGCCAAGCCCACAATCTAGACTATTCTAATAATAATAAATTAATATTATTTCTAACACTCCCCCTCAAGCTGGTGCGTATATATCAAAACCTCCCAGCTTGTTACAAATATGATCTATTCGGGGACCTCTAAGAGCTTTAGTGAATACATCCGCAAGTTGATCATTGGAATTGACAAATGCTGTCTCGATCTCCCTTGACTGGATCTTTTCTCTAACAAAATAACAGTCAATTTCTATATGTTTGGTCATCTCATGAAAGACTGGGTTAGAGGATATATGCAAAGCGGCTTGGTTGTCACAAATGAGCTTCATAGGCCTTTGTTCACAGAGATGGAGTTCCTTCAACAATTGACTCAGCCAGATGAGCTCACAGGTTGCATTTGCCATTGCCTGATATTCTGCCTCTGCACTGGATCTGGCGACCACAGTTTGCTTCTTACTCTTCCAAGAGATCAAATTTCCTCCGAAGAGAACACAATACCCTGAGGTGGATCGTCTATCTGAAGGAGAACCTGCCCAGTCAACATCTGAATAACTAGAGATCTCTGAACTCCCTTTATTTGTATATAATAAACCTCTTCATGGCGCCTTTTTAATATATCGGAGAATTCTAATAACTGCATCCCAATGGGAGTCACAGGGAGAATCAAGAAATTGACTTGCAACACTCACTGCGAAGGAGATATCTGGCATTGTCACAGTAAGATAATTCAATTTTCCAACTAGTCGGCGGTAGCGACTAGGATCTGGCAGTGGCTCCCCCTGTCCTGGTAATAACTTAACATTGGGGTCCATAGGTGTATCAATGGGTTTACAGCCTAACATGCCAGTCTCATCTAGGATATCCAGTGCATACTTCCTCTGACAGATGGAAATGCCCCGCCTAGACTGTGCAACTTCGATCCCCAAGAAATATCAAAGTCTGCCAAGATCTTTGGTCTGAAATTGATTGAATAAATGCTCTTTCAACTGATCAATCCCGGTCTGATCACTGCCTGTAATGATAATGTCATCAACATAGACCAGGATATAAACGCACTGGCCATAAGAGCTATGCCGGTAAAAGACAGAATGATCGGCTTTGCTTCTGATTAATCCAAAGGATTCAACAGCTGAACTAAAGCGGCTAAACCAGGCCCGAGGAGATTGCTTCAGGACATATAAAGATTTCCAAAGTTTACATATCATTCCAGAACTCTCCCCCTGAGCAACAAAACCTGGTGGTTGCTCCATATAAACTTCCTCCTGCAAGTCACCATGTAGAAAAACATTCTTAATATCAAGTTGGAGAAGGGGCCAGTGATGAATGGCGGCAAGGGCAAAAAACAGGCGAACAGAAGCCATCTTAGCAACAGGAGAAAAGGTATCCCCATAATCAAGACCAAAGATCTGTGTGTATCCCTTGGCCACTAAGCGAGCTTTAAGGCTATCAACAGTGCCATCAGGACCAACTTTAACTGTGAACACCCATCGACAACCAACAACAGACTTCCCGGGAGGAGCACGGACAAGATCCCAAGTGCCATTGGAGTGAAGTGCCTGCATTTCATCAAGCATCGCCTGGCGCCACCCTGGATGAGATAGTGCTTCACCTGTGGTTTTAGGGATGGAAACAGAAGAGAGACTAGAAACAAAAGTAAAATGTTGTGAAGAAAGTCTGTCATAACTCAAGAAAAAATAAAGGGGATGAGGATTTCGAGTGGATCGAATACCTTTCCGAAGGGCAATGGGAGGAGTCTCTGATGGAGGATCCGGAGGAGAAGAGCCGACGGGAAAGGGCGATGAGTCATTAAGAGGCAAAGTCGGAGGAGGTGCAGGCTGACGACACTGGTATGTGAGGAGAGGACGATCTGCAGGTATGGAGGTAATTGGTTGCTCCTCTGGAATAGGGTCACCTGCAGCTGGTAAAGACAAGTCAAGAAAAGGAACAGGAAGGACCTGATCAACTTGGGACACTGGAGACGGAGTAGAGTGAAAAGGCTGCTAATCAAGGAAAGTGACATCAGCAGAAACGATATAACGCTTGAGATCAGGAGAATAGCAACGATACCCTTTTTGAAAACGTGTATACCTAAGGAAAATACATTTGAATGCCTTGGATGTCAACTTGTCTTTACCTGGAGTAAGATCATGAACAAAACAAGTACAACCAAAAATATATAAAGGCAGAGGATAAGAAGGTGCTCCGGAAAACAAAATACTGTGGGGAACATCATTATTTAGCACAGAAGAGGGCATGCGGTTGATAAGGAAACATGAGGTGATAATAGCATCTGCCCAAAAACGGAGTGGGACGTTCATATGAATGAGAAGGGTATGTGCAGTTTCAACTAGATGTCTATTTTTACGTTCAGCGACTCCATTTTGTTGTGGAGTGTGGGGACAGGTAGTCTGGTGTATCGTCCCTTGTGTATCCAGAAATTTAGAAAATTCAAGAGACACATACTCTTTTGCATTATCACTGCGCAAGATTTGAATAGAAGCACCAAATTGAGTTTTTATTTCTGCACAAAACTTTTGATAAATTGAAAATAACTCAGAACGATTTTTCATTAAATAAACCCAAGTGCAACGAGAGAAATCATCAATAAAGGTGACAAAATACTGAAAACCCAAAATAGACGTTGTTCGACTCGGACCCCAAATATCAGAATGAACAATAGAAAAAGGAGTATCAGCTCTTTTATTGACTCTATTAGCAAAGGAGGAGCGAGTGTGTTTTCCTTGCTGACAAGAATGACAGTTTAAAGACTTAAGATTGGATAAAAAGGGAACCATATGCTGAAGCTTAGAGAGGTTTGGATGACCCAGACGGCTGTGAATTAGCTCAGGAGACTCTGTGAGAGAACAGGCTACTGGAGAAGGTGGTGCAATCAGATAGTAGAGACCTCGTGACTCAACGCCTGCTCCAATCGTCTTCCCTGTACCCGAATCCTGCATAGAAAAGGATTGTTTAGAGAAGGTAATAGTACATGAAAGAGAATGAATCAATTGGCTAACAGAGATTAAATTAAAAGGAATGCCAGGTATATAATAAACAGAACTCAAAGTTAAAAGGGGAGTTGGGTTGGCTTCCCCAATTCCACGAGCAGGAGCCTTAGTCCCATCAGCAAGAGTGACAGGGGGTAGGTTATTAGAATAAGAAAGTGAAGTGAAGAGATCTTTATTACCACAAAGATGATGAGTAGCACCTGAGTCTATTATCCAGGGTCCAAGAGATGATTGATAAAAACAAGCAACATGATTACCAGTGTCTTGAGTAGGATGCTGAGAAGAAACCTTATTGAGAAGTGCCTCATAGTCGGCACTTGAAAGAGTTACTAATCCAGTTGAAGGTGGCGTAACATCAGTTTGAGCAAATTTGGCAGACGGTGGCTTCAAATGAGGGTACTTCCTATAGCAGCGTTCTTCAAAATGCCCAAGATTCTGGCAATAATTGCAACGAGGCCGCTGTCTGCGGCCACGTCTGCGACTGCGTCCACTGTTCCAATTGGAATCACTGGCCCGAGAAAATAATGGAGATGAGGTAGTACCGGAGATGATGCCAGTCGTGTTTTTGGACGCATTATTTGAGCCCTCCATCACAAAATAAAAGGAGATGACCAGAAAATAGCAAAGAACTACAAGAAAGCAAGAAATCGCTCAAAAACGTTGCACAAAAGTGTCCAAACAACGGGTTTTTCACTGATATCTTTCAAACGGATGGGACCCACAACGAACGGAGACCAGATCTGGAAAGAGGGTGAGGAGGCGAGCAAGAAGGTGGTGGTCCAGCCTGGAACGGTGGCCGGACGGTGGCTCACGCGCCGGAACAGTGGTTCGGCCGCCGGAGACTTCCACCGGCGCGTGGATGATCCGATCAACACGCGGCTTGGACAGACAGGGTCGCCTCCCTGAGCCGCTCCTGATCGCGTGGTGGTTGGTCGGAAAAGTCGCCGGAAAAGCAGTCTGACGGCGGTGAACAGTGGCGGACGGTGGTTTTGTGGCGGTTTCTGGTGATGAACGGAGGCTGACGATCTTTTTCCCGATGATACGATGTTGAGGACAAGAAATTTGTGACTAAATAAGGGTTAGGTGTGAAAGGATGGTTGCTGGTATGATGCACGGCAGTAAAAAGAAAGGAAAAGATATATATGCGGAAGCAGAGCCCTCAGATCGAGAGCTCTGATACCAAATTGAATCTGAAATATATCGTATATTCAAGTGTGTAAGTCTGTACAAGGAGGCTCTCTATTTATAGAGACTAAAAGACCTAATGGGATGACCTAATGGGATGACCTAATGGGCCAAGCCCACAATCTAGACTATTCTAATAATAATAAATTAATATTATTTCTAACAATAGGTACCTGGATGATCTTTTCTTGGAAAGGCTTTCTTCTGAAACAATGCCCAACTGTCTTCTTCATTTAAGCAATTTGGTTCATGAAGCAAGCCTTTAGGATCTACATGCCTTGAAATGCCTTTCTTGCGGGATGTAAAAACTATCTTACTTCTTGTGTTTTCAGAGGGAAAGGCAGGACTTAGAATGTCCCATGCCTCATTGTTCCATATGTCATCCAGGATGATCAAACATTTTTTCTCTTGCTGAACTTTATACAACTTCTTCGCCAATTCTTCATCTCTCATTTTCATAATCTCATCCCTCTCCTCTTTGGAAGGAGAAATAAGCTTAAGCAAAATTCCCTCCCAAACATCTCTTTTCTTGCACTGTTGAGATATGTATGCCCAAGCAAACCCCTCAAAGTGGCGCCTAATAGCATTGTAATGGTATATGTTTTTGGCAAGAGTGGTTTTTCCTAGACCGCCCATTCCACAAATATAAACCACTCTACAATGTTGATCTTGATTCAATAGCCATCTCACCACTTGTTTTATGTCTTCATCTAAGCCAACAATGAACTCTTCAACTATATGAGAATAAGACCATCTCAACTGCCTTTGCCTCTCAAAGCGTGACTCCTCGTTGTCTCTTGTTTCGGTCAAACCATAAGTTTGTAACCTTCTTGTGAGGTCAGATATTCGAGAGTCAATGGATTCAATGGCAGATCCAACTTTGTGAAGATGCATACCTCTGGAAAGAGGATTTTTAGTTCCAACACTTATGCCACATGCAACCTTCATTGCATAAACTTCAATCACATCCTCAGCATCATAGGCTAATTTTCTGATGTCTGATATCCAATTCTTTATAGTCTCATCTTTATCCTGCCTTCTCTCAGCATCTCTCAAGAAGCCTTGCATCCACTTTAGTTCATCTTGCATTTTATTGACTTGGACTTTCACCCCACTTAACAATTTGGCCTCCTCAAGTAATAGGTCACCAAGCCTTTCAACTGCAAAGGACACAACTGACTCAACCATTATGATTATTCTGTCTCCTTCAGGAACAAGATGATGACTTAACCTGCGGAAAACTTGTTGTCAGCTAGGTATTACATCTGACACAGATACTTTACTCACACATATACAATAGGCCTTCTATTTACAGAAAAAAAAATATATGGATGGAATTCCGCTATATATAGATCATATACGAATGCATAACAATTAATTAAATTGTCATAAGATTTTGCAGCACAAACGGTTTTGATTCTAATACACAAAATTTTGGCAATAAAAAAAAAACATTTTCCTACTTCTTCACTTTGTTTTCCAGTTCAAATTGCAAAAAGGGGATAAAACCAAAACTGGGCACGTTAATTTTTTTTTTTTTTTTTTTAACTTCAAGTACAAAAAGCAGGCAAAAATTGGAAAGGAGAAAAACGGTAAGAAATCTTGATAGCAATTGAACTTCGTACACAATCAAACCATACAATTATATCTATAATCTATTACTCAGACCCATGTTCCAGAAACCATAAAAAATCGGTTTATGACATAATCTTGCGCTTATGTTACTTCAATTGCAAAATAAATCCCCACACTTTCAGAAGCAGACCAGTATTGACTTTGGCCTAAAAAAAAAAGAGTGTTTAATAAATTCTTAGAGAATATAATGAATGATTTAACAACTAGTATATGTCATAAGCATAAAACTCAAAAGGAAGAACGGAGAAATTAGATATAGAAGCCAATTCTTGGAGCATAACCAGATCCATAGATTAACATAACACGATCTATCAATTGTAGAAGATGGAGATATCACCTTCAATTGAGTACAGGTATGGAGTTCTCAGGCAATTGCTCACCGATGAATATGATTGTGGTAGGTAGAACAAAGCAGCAATACATGTGGTTCTGCAGCTCAGGACAATTGGAATACTCAATTGAATTTTCAATTTCTAATATTTTAAGTTTTTTTATCCATATGAATGAAAATTACATAACGATTACATAAATCATAAATGATAATGTTTATTATATATATACTAATTAATATAACGGATTTCGTGTCTCTTACTTTAAAAAAAAAAAAAGTTATTAACTTTTAAAATTCAATTTTTAACTTGTCGTCGGATCCTTCATTTTTTTCTTTTTTTCCCCATTTTCCAACTTATTAGAAAACGAGGTCAACGAAGAAGAAAGTTTTTTTCTCTCCACCCAAAACCCTTTTCGTCAATAAGTGTGTCGGAAAGACTTTTCCACGTTGGTTCAAACCTGCTACCCTTGATAAAGGGAGTATAGCAGAATTTTCTAAAATAGAGGATATAAATAAAAATTTAAAATTATAAGTACTATTAAGGTTAATAAAAATATTAATTATAAATATTTTCGAGGAAGAGATTAATTATTGATACTAATAATCTATATTAAATAAAAAATATATTTTATACACAAAATATTCAAAAATAAATAAAAAATATATATAGAGGTAGAATCCTTTGACAACAGTGTCAAATTTGAAATTTGACACCTCATCTGAGAGTCGTTAGATCAAAAAAGATCAATGGTGTCACATGCTTGCAAATCAGAGTCGTTGATCTTTTTTGATTTAACGGCTCTCAAATGAGGTGTCAAATTTCAAATTTGACACTGATATCAAAGGATCCTACCTCCTTTTATATATATATATATATATATAAGTACATGAATCTCATATGTAGCCATGTGAGAAAAAGAAGTATGTGTAAAAGATAATTTATTTAGTAGATAATTTCATTCTATATAACATCAAAAACATTAAATCATATGTTATCAACAAAAAAAAAACATTAAATCATATATATATATATAGGGTTATATTTATCTCATTTTACATGAAATAGACAATTTTCCTACACACACAAAAGAGGGATGGTCCCACCACTCTTTTTTTCTCTCTCCTCTTACTTGTGGGTCTCACTTATAATTTTATTTCTACAACATGAGGTAACAACTTTCCTACAACATAAGAAAAGTATTTCTCATATATATATATATATGGGGTAAACATTTCTGTAGCCACTTTAGATAAGTTTATCTACAGCTACTCTTTATAACTATGTTCTCCCGGAGAACATAGTTATAAAGAGTAGCTGTAGATAAGCTATATTCTCATTTATTTTTCAGAACCTGTTTGCTGACGTGGAGAGAGAAAAAAAAACAACTTTAACGTTATAACTTTGTTCTCCTGGGAGAACATAGTTATAAATGGGTAGCTGTAGATAAGCTTATATAAAGTGGCTGCAGAAATACTTTTTCCTATATATATATATATATATATATATATATATATGGGGAATATAATTTCTCATGTTGTATGAGATAAAAGAAGTAGGTAAGTTCTTTTTCTCTTCTTCTCAGTGGATTCCACTTACTTTTTTATATGTATAAACAATAAATTTATCTCGTGTAATACGGTTAATATTTATTGGGTCTTACTCATTAATTGATTACGGATTTTCAATAAATTTCAACCGTTTGATGCACGTAAATCAACGGTTAAGATCTGGTGTAAGATTTATTATTGTTACACTGGTATAAGTTGATACTATCTCTCTCACACACACACACATATATATGGGTAGGATCCTTTGATACCAGTGTCAAATTTAAAGTTTCATACCCCATCTGAAAGTCATTAAATCAAAAAAGATCAACGACTCTAATTTGTAAGCATGTGACACAATTGATCTTTTTTAATCTAACAGCTCTTAGATAAGGTGTCAAATTTTAAAATTGAACATCTAAATTTGACACCACACACACACACACACACATATATATATATAGGGCAGGATATTCTTACACCGGTGTAAGAATTAGAAGTCTTACACCTAATCTTGACCATTGATCCATTTATATCCAATGGCTCTCATTACTAAAAAAATAGAGCCCTTAGATATAAATGGGATCAATGGACAAGATTGAAAGTGTAACTTACACTGATGTAAAATGATCCTGACCCTATATATATATATATATATATATATATATATATATATATATATATATAGGGCAAGATATTCTTACACCAGTCTAAGAGTTAGAAGTCTTACACTCAATCTTGAGCATTGATCCACTCGTATCCAATGACTCACATCACTAAAAAATTAGAGCCCTTAGATATAAGTTGGATCAACGGACAAGATTGAACTTACACTGGTATAAATATATATATATATATATATATATATATATATATATATATATATATATATATATATGGAGAAATATTTCTCAAGCTGCTTGAGATAAATTTATCTCTGACCACCCCAAAACTACGTCGTTTTGATTATTTATTTCCTTATATGTATTGATTCACCTTTGAATGGTTATGATTCTCTTTTTCTCTCTCTTCCTTTATCACCATTGATTCATCTTTGTACAGTTATGATTTAGTAGCCGGAAATAACTTTATCTCCGGCAGCTTGAGAAATGATAAGTCAATATATATATATATATATATATATATATATATATATATATATATATATGGGGTTTGATTTTTTCATGTTAAATGAGAATTCAATTTTCATGTTGTAGAGATAAAAAGTATGTGAGACCCAGGTATTAGAAAAAATTATATATAAGACCCATGTCAGCACGGAAATCGAATGATGTGTAGGAAAATTTGAATTCTCATAACAAAACTCTCTCTATATATATATTACTTAGTGAGAAATTTTAGTAACCTATTAACGGCCCCAGTACATGTGCCTATTTAGGTGTCCTCTTTATTTTTCCATGTAGTTTCGATGGAGAGAGAGATAAAATTAGGCCCACCTTATTAATTGAGAACTGAAACGAAGCTAATGAGAAGAAAGGGCAAAAATAATTAAAATATTGTAATTTAAATAAAAAATATATAAAAATATAACGATTTGGTACCAATTTATATATCTAGAACAATCAGTTGTGCCCAAAATTGGACACGAAATTAGGCGGGGCAGAGCCAAGTTGCGCCCCATTCGGTCACATCCAAAATCAGAGATGACTGCATGTGAAATGCGCCCCCATTTAGGCTCGACTAATGGTGAGTTGCGCATGATATTAAGCCTAACTAATTGCGTCATATAGATACTCCACCCCTCATTTCCAACCCTTTCACCATCTTTTAAGATTTTACTCTAACTTTTTTCTAAGTTTTTGTGGGTTAGAACTCTCCAATTCAAATAAGTGGAGGAGTTATTCTATGGACCAGTGCTATATAATTGACAAATGCTCTCTCCCAAAAACGGAAAACAAAAGAAAAAGCAAGAGTAGAATAGTAAAAACAAAGTGTTGACTGTGAGTGGAACCACGAAAATATAAAATGAGCCGGAATTATATAATTTTTTTTCAAATAAGTGTTAATATTTGTTTTATATGTTTTAAATGACAGTAATAGATAATGTTATAATAATAATTTAGCATATAATTAGTGACTTAGGTTATGAATATCTACTTGAATAATTAAATATTTTGGGAGTTTCTTCATGCTATGTAACATTGACTAATTAAATAACCATTTATTTTTCTAAATAACTTTATCTTAATTTCATTAATCAAGAGACTAACGAATATGCCAGCTTTTTAATTTTATGTATAAGCTCAACGTAAAGTAATAGTAAAAATACTTATTGTGACTAAAAGGTATGACTCTGAATCCAAAAAAATTATATCTTGACAAATATGCAAAGATAATGTTATTTACAAAGATTACCCAAATCTCATTTTTATTAGTCAGGGTTTAATTAGAAGTGGTTTATATAAGCTCACCGCAATGGCTTTTATATATCAAATTAGGAAACTAATTATTTCATTGACAGGTAAATCTGGTTCCAAACTTCTAATGCCCCAAACAATACATTCACAGTTGAATATGAAGTTTGCTCGTTTGATGTGGTTATGCTATTAGTGATATACGCAAAGGACAAGCAAATATTTTTTGACAAGATAAACAGATTAGAGGAGATGATTGATCCAATTCTTAAAGGAAAGATTCCACAGGGTGTTGGGTTAAGTATTTATAGATATTGCAGAAAGACGCTTGAAGCAGGAACCAAATGAGAGACCAACAATGGGTGAAGTAGAGGTGCAACTTAGAGTATGGTCTAGCACTGCATGAGGAAGCAGATACCACCAAGACCAGTGGTGATTTTATCTTATTATCCACAACCATTTTTAATACTGAGCCCGAGTAGGTGTTCCAATTTCACTTGAGAATAAACTGATGGTTGTAAAATTAATCATTTGTTGGAATGGCAAAAAGAATAAACTCACTAAAGGGGTGTTTGGTACGTGAGATATTTTTTTTACCGAGAAAAAAAAGTTACAGAGAATATGAAGGGATTTTTTTTATGTTGGACAAGTTACAAAAAGTTATTTGGTAGGCCAAAATTTTTGATGGAAAAATTGAGTTATTATATTAATGCTATATTTGGTTGGTTGTGAAATATATGTGAGAAAGAGGAATAAAATTACAAAAGTACCCATCCTATTTGAAAATTTGTTAAACCATTCCCTTTATAATAGGGTTGTGTGTGTCCAAAATTTTTAAATGTACTTTTTATAGGGTAGGTCAAGAATCTTAGTTCTTAGATAAAAAAAATACCACCTTTTGAATTGTATTTCTTTTTTTGCCAAAGTCCAGTTGAAAAAATTATTCATGAGAAATATTTTATACCGGTATTTTTTAACTTTTTTCATACCAAACATGGTAAACCTATTTTTCCCACACCACTTTTTCACATATTCTATCAAAATCTTCGTACCAAACACCCAGTATGTAGCACTGATACCGACACGGGACATGTGACACGATACGACACGACACTCCGACACGTTAATTCTAAAAAATGTTAGATTTCGACACGCTAGGACACATTTTGATATTAAATAATATTTTTAATTTATGCAGGGTATACTATATTTAATATTCAATAATTTAACAAAAAAATGAATATAAACTTATAATATTCATAAATTCTACAAAGAAACATAAGATATTACAAATATTTATATTAAACTCAATAAAATAGTAATGGTAATCTAACTAATCTAATAGTTGAAACTAAAAATTCAACACGACGCAACCTTTAAACTTTTTTTTGAATTTCTATAACACGTGTTGGAGTGTCGGGGAGTGTCGGACACGACACGTCGGAGGTTTTGAAGTGTCGGTGCTTCATAAACACCCACTATAAGGAATTCATGGAAACACTATATAATTATTAATAGATGATTTGAGGATAAATTTTATTTTTGATTTAATAAGAAAATAATATTATCTTATAAGAATATTTATAAAAATATATTGTGTTATGGACTTTGAGGACACCACCTCAAAAGCTAGTTCAAAGGGTGGGAGTGCCCAAGGCCTTTTAAACCCCACATTAGTTTCCTATACAACCAACGTGGAACTTGTAACATTGCCACCCCCTTTAAGGGCCGACGTCCACGGCGACTTTCACTCTATCGACACTGACCCGACGGTAGCTCTTTCCCCCTTTGGGGCGGCTTCACTCACCTATCAGTATTCAGTGCTCAAAGACACCTTAATCCAGCCTATAGGTAGCCCTTCCGGTGGTCTCAACTCTCAATGAAAGCACCAATTGTTACGGACCTTGAGGTCAACACTGAAAAGCTAACTCAAAGGGTGGGAGTGTCCAAGGCCTTTTTAAACCCCACATTAATTTTCTATACAACCAATGTGGGACTTGTAACATTGCCACCCCCTTTAAGGGCCGACGTCCACGACGACTTTAATTCTATCGACACTGACCCGACGGTAGCCCTTTCCCTCTTTGGGGCGGCTTCACTCACCTATCAGTACTCAGTGCCCAAAGACACCTTAATCCAGCCTATAGGTAGCCCTTTCCGTGGTCTCAATTTTCAATGAAAACAATAATTGTTACGGACCTTGAGGTCACCACCTCAAAAGCTAGCTCAAAGGGTGAGAGTGATAGTAATATACAGTGCCCAATCTGGGACTCGTAACATATTGTCATATCATACGTTAATAATTAAAACGCGTAAAAGGGACATTACCAAAAAAAAAAAAATCGCGAAAAAGGAAGGAAAAGGCAGATGAAAACAGTCGAAATTATGATGAAAACAGCTGGAGTCAATTTGCTGACTCGCTTCATTCTTTATTCTTCAGAAGAGCTTTACTACATCTTCAGAGTAGAAAATTTTGAAGCTCATTTTCTGTCCTCATCTTCAGGTTCATATGTGAGGTGAGAGATTTCTAAGATAAGGTAACCTCCTTTAATGGATCCTTTTTATGACTACCTATATTGTATTTGCGTATTATTTTTCTATATTCGTTTTACATCATTTACAACATAACAATTAGATAAATATCCACATTGAATTTAGTACAGAGAAGAAGGTTACAGCGTCAGAGTAAAAACATATTGAAGCTTTGCTCCTGTCTTCATTTTCAGGTTCTTTTCTTTTCCCAACCTATATATGAATTGTTATGTATTAATATAATCCGTGAGAAAATGAAAAAAGTGAAGCAAAGAAGTGAGAGAAAGCAGAGAGTAGAACTCTGAATATGCTGATATTATTCAATCTGATCTCTCTGTTATACGGAGAAGGTCTATATATAGCAATATAGCATCACAGAACTTATGCTGCAATCTCTAGTGTTGAGAGGAGCATACTAAGGGAGGCTTCAGGGAGATTTTTGGGGTATTTAAGTCTCAAATTGGTTGGCTCCATATTAGTAAAAGGATGCATGGAAACAATACCTTAATCTTTAGGGTTAACACGTGTTAAAACTTGAACTCCATAATACAATCACTGTACTACATTCCTTTACCTCTTCAATGAGGAGTATATATACAAGTTACTTTCAACAATAAAGCCATAAAATAAGGAAACATCCTAACAATAATCAACAACTAAATCAGAAAATGATTTTGTTCTAAACAACTTGTTTTTATTTCTATGTAACAATAATTCAAACTTAAATTCTATTTTCAACACTCCCCCTCAAGTTGGTGCATGAATATTAGTCATGCCTAACTTGTCAGTAAGTTTGTAGAATACTTTCACTGAAACATCTTTTGTCAGCACATCTGCAAGATGGTCTTCTGATCGAACATAAGGTATATGGATTACTTGATTTTCTAAATTTTTCTTAATGAAGTGCCTATCCACTTCAACATGTTTAGTTCTATCATGTTGAATTGGATTGTGTGCAATTTCCACAGCAGCCTTGTTATCACAAAAAAGCTTCATTTGCTGATTATATTTTATTCCTAAGTCAGCAAGTATGCTTTTGATCCAAAGTAATTCGCAGATGCCATATGACATACCTCTGGCTTCTGCTTTTGCACTGGACCTGGCTGCCACCTTATGTTTCTTGCTCCTCCATGTTACTAGATTTTCCTCTACAAAGGTGAAGTATCCGAAAGTTGACTGCCTAATGGTTTTATCTTCAGCCCAATCAGAGTCTGTGTATCCTTCTATGTAGGCTTCTTTATTTTTTGAAAACAGAAGTCCCTTTCCTGGTGATCCCTTCAGGTATCTGAGAATACGGTATACTGCCTTCATGTGTTCTTCACTAGGAGAGTGCATAAACCTGCTTACTACACTTACAGAATATGCAATATCAGGTCTAGTATGAGACAAATATATTAGCTTTCCTACTAACCTTTGGTATCTCCCTTTATCCATTTCAACTTGCTCTGGATATATACCAAGGGAGTGATTCATCTCTATTGGAGTGTCACTCGGTTTACACGCCATCATTCCAGTCTCAGACAAGATGTCCAGTGTATACTTTCTCTGACACATGAATATTCCGTGTTTAGACCTTGCAATTTCTATTCCAAGGAAATATTTCAGTTGTCCTAGACTCTTCATTTCAAATTCATCAGCAAGCCTTTTTTCCAGCAGTTTCATTTCTTCCATATCATCTCCCGTTAGAACCATATCATCAACATAGACAACAAGTATGGCAATTTTCCCTTCCTTCCTTTTGATAAACAGTGTGTGATCCGAATTCCTTACTTCAAGAGTGACATGCAATTTTTTAGAAGTGGGATCATAACACCAGTATCCTTTTTGGAGATCAGAATATCCTACGAAGATGCATTTTTTTGCACAAGGTTCAAGCTTGCTGCGTAGTGGTTTAAGGACATGAACATGGACAGTGCAACCAAAGACTTTAGGTTCCAAGCTAGTGACATGGGGAATAAAGAAAAAAGATTCCAGTTTCTGTTGAGGAGTGAGGAAATTCAAAGCACTTGAAGGGATACAGTTAATGAGATAGGCAGCAGAGAGGACTGCCTCTCCCCAATAGGATGAGGGAACGTTCATGCCAAATAAAGAGGCCCTTACCACCTCTAAGAGATGCCTATTTTTCCTCTCAGCTAAGCCATTTTGTTGAGGTGTATAGGTACAAGAAGTTTGGTGTTTTATTCCCTTAAATATCAGAAATTCAGAAAAAAGTCTATTTTTATACTCCAGGTCATTATCGGATTGAAATATTTGGATTGAGCTATTAAACTGGGTTTGCACCATACTATGAAATTTCTGAAACATAGAGAAGACTTCAGTTTTATTTCTAAGGAGTGAAATCCAAACCATTCGAGTACATTCATCAATGAAGGATACAAAATAATAAGACTGGGACAGGGAGGGGACCTGCTACATCTGAATGAACAACTTGAAAGGGGATACAACTTTTATTTGGACTGGGATAAAAAGAAATGCGATGGCTTTTAGCCATTTCACAAATGGAACACCTAAATTCAGATGGATTATGTCTAGAGAATAACTGGGAAATAATTTTCTAAGAGAAAAAAAAGATAGGTGTCCCAGTCGTTTATGCCAAAGCCATATTTCAGAATGGGTAGATGCAGAAATTGAAACTTCAGAAGGAGCGGAGTCAGGAACCTTGGTAGCAGACGCCATGGGGTGCGGGTAAGGTCCATCTTTGAGGTCCAAGAAGTAGAGGTTGCCATGTCTAACACCATAACCAAGAATCTCCTGTGTCCGGAAGTCCTGAAACACACAACAATTTGGCCAAAAAATCACAGAACAATGTAGTTGTGATGTGAGTTAACTTACAGAGATTAAATTAAAATCAAAAAAGGGAACCACAAGAACCGAATGAAGAGTTAAGGTTTTGGTCAGAGAAATGGTACCCTGACCAGTGATGGGGGCAGAGCCACCATGTGCAGTGGTGACGGTGGACTTACTACAGGTAGAACAATGTGTCAACGCAGAGGCATCACGGATCATATGATCCGGTGCTCCAGTATCAATTATCCATGAGCCAATCCCAGAATTAACAGAGAAAGCAACGGTATTACCTAAAATTCCTTCGTAGATTGCATGTGCTTGAGGGGATGCAGATGGTTCACCTTCGGATGACGATTGCAGAGCCTTGGATGTGACTTTCCTTCGAGGCCTCTTTGTGAAGTCCCATCATTCTGGGTAGCCTATGATTTCGTAGCATCGGGTCTTGGAGTGGTCGGAATCTCCACAGTGAGAGCAGACCAATGGTTTGCCGGAGGAAGAATCTCTTCGATTTTTGGAAGAAGAATGCACAGGGAAAAACGAGTGGCCAAGACAGAGGATTCTGATGTGGGATTCGGGCGATTCATTGTGATACGCTGTTGATTCTTGTGGCAGTGGAATGCATATGTGCCCTCAAGATCCAATTTGGGATCTTTTCAAAGAATCTCTCCGCAGACATGGTCGAATTCGGAGTCCAATCCGCTAAGAAAAATATAGACTCGCAGACGTGCCATAGATGAATGCGTGTGGACCACATCATTGACAGTGGTGGCTGGAGAAGACATGCGATGGTCGATCTCTTGGAAAATGGAAAGAAGCTCATTGTAGTAGGTAGAGAGAGGGCGACCAAGTTGTTTAGTGGAAAAGGAACATTGGCGGAGTTCAAAGAGGCAGGTTTCATTCGATCCGTCATATAAAGTACGAAGAGCCGCATCCCAAATTTCTCGGGCTGATTCATGGCGGATGAACCGCTGCATTAAGGATGGGGTCATGGATTCGATAAGCCAGCTTTTCACCTTCTTATTTTCGATGACCCAGGTATGGTAGTGAGGGTCAGAGATGGGGGGTTTCGGTGTGGCTCCAATGAGAAAGTCAGACTTATTTCGTGCGCCAATTTGCATGTCCATTAACTGGGACCAGAGAGGGTAGTTGGAATCATCAAGGATGATGGTGATTGGAAATGAAGATGTATCTTGTTGGATGACGATATTTTGGGGCGGAACAAAGGCGGGGGACTGGGTGGTGGTTTTGTCCGTGGAATTAGGGCTTTCCATCGAGGAAGGGAATGTGGGAGACGGGTTCGAGATTGTTCTGATGGGAGAGGAGAATGATTTCGGGTCGGGTAAAGTGAAAAACTGTGGTGGGAGAGAAGAGATTCGGGTCAGTGAGAGAAGAGATTCGGGTCGAGTGACTAAGTAAAAATTAAGAAAAGATCGATGTGGGATGAGAGGAACCCTGGATCAAAACAAACTGATACCATGTTAAAATTTGAACTCCATAATACAATCACTGTACTACATTCCTTTACCTCTTCAATGAGGAGTATATATACAAGTTACTTTCAACAATAAAGCCATAAAATAAGGAAACATCCTAACAATAATCAACAACTAAATCAGAAAATGATTTTGTTCTAAACAACTTGTTCCTATTTCTATGTAACAATAATTCAAACTTAAATTCTATTTTCAACAACATGGTATCAAGTTCACTTGTTGTAGTTGTAGCTAAGCATTAATGGTGGGTTCCTGCCATGGCTTAGTATGCTATTAGAGCTCACTCAGGTGAATCCTTATATTCATCCCAAAAAAGAACTTTACTTTTGGTGATGGCTCCCAAACATGAGTGTTCATGTTGATGATGCATTTCAGATAAGGTTAGCTATTAAGATAGAAGTCAATTACATCTGAATCTTTGTCGCAGGTGTCTGTCTCAAATTTGGAATAATGCTTCTCAAATGTTTGGGTTTCTGCCACTCAAAGGATACAAGTGCATCTAAGGGACAGTATCCAACAGTGATAGAAGAGCTATGCCATCATTTTTCCCCGGCTGATCTTAGGAAATCAACCAACAACTTTGATGAAAACCAACTAATTGGACGTGGAGGCTTTGGTAGTGTATATAAAGGTTGTCTCAAACATAATGGTGTTAGTGATTATACAGTCGCATTAAAGCGATCGTACCGGAATAACTATGGAGAGTTCGTGAACTATGGAGAGTTCAAGAACGAAATAGAGTTGCTTTGCCAGCTTCGTCATGCTAATTTGGTGTCTCTTATAGGATTCTGCAACCTCAAACATGAGAAGATTATTGTGTACGACTACATACCCAATGGAACTTTCCATGATCATCTACACGATAGGGACAGGGACACACTCTCATGGAAGAAAAGGCTTGAGATATGCATAGGAGCAGCATGTGGGGTGCACTACCTTCACACAGGAGCCAAGCGCACGATAATTCACCTTGACGTAAAGCCTAGTAACATTCTTTTGGATAGCAATATGGTTCCCAAACTCACAGATTTCGGGCTTTCCTTACAGGGACAACGTTTCATGTCGAAGCCAAAACCAATTGAAGTAGACCGCATTTGTGGTAAATTTTATTTATATAAGCTTGTTGCATAGAATTTTATCAATTAAGTAAGCTAACACTTTAATTTATAGGTACTTTCGGTTTCATGGCCCCTGAGTATACCATGTACGGTACCGTCACAGATAAATGTGATGTTTACTCATTTGGTAGGCTTCTACTAGAAGTTGTGTTGGAAAAGCCAATATCCTCAATACAGTCGTCCAAACCTGCTTGGGAGAATATTGATCCGAATCTCAAAGGGAATATTGCACCAGAGTGTTGGGAAGTATTTATGGATATCACGGAAAGATGCTTGAAGGAGGAAGCAGATGAGCGACCAACAATGGGTGAAGTAGAGGTGCAACTTGAGCTTGCTCTATCATTGCAGGAAGAAGCAGATAGCACAACTACCAATGGTAAATACACCTTATTGTCCAACACCATTATTAAGCTGGGACCGGAATTTGAGGACAGTGTGATATAGAAGACGTTTCTTAGGTAATGTGGTCAACTGGAATTAAGGGTGTTAATTTTGAGTCAGAAAACAGACACTGTAGACTCTTTGCAGTCGTTAAGTTTATTTGAGATATTCCTAGGATTTTGATTGTATTGGAAGCTGTTATTATAATTATCATGAACTAGAATAATTTTGAAAGAAATGCAGGAAATCAGATGGGAGCAAAGCCTTAATGATTGAACCTTTGCTTTCAGTCGATAATTCTTGCTCTACCTCTTCTGTTTAGTCTGGACACTATTACTTCACAAGAAGAGACACTGATATAGTAAACAATCGCATAGAAGAGCTCGTCAATTTTCTGAGGCCAATCTTAAGAGAAACAATTGACAACTTTAATCAAAACAGAATAATAGGAAGAGCAAGCTTTGGAACAGCACAAAAGGTCTTCAGTTCTCATACTTGATGGTGCAATGAATATTCAATGGCAAGTTTGTGCATATGTGCGTTCCTTCCATAACTTGTATTTATAAATTCCTAATTACAGTCTTTACACGTTCATTTCCAAATTAAATCCTTTTAATTTATCCCAAGGAGGTAACTTCTTTTGGTTCTCAAAGATGAGTGTTCCCCTCTTTCGTGATGCTTTTGACCTCCGGTTAGCTATAAAGATTGGAAACAAAGTGTAGCTGAATCTTCATCAAGACAGACAACGAAGTCTCAAATGGGAATAATGCTTCTCAAGTATTTGGGCTTCTTTCATTCAAAGCATTGAAGTTCATCTACGAAACAATCTCCAATCGTAAAACCAGAGCATCCCATCAATTTTCTCAGGCTGATCATCTCAGTGAATCAACCAACAACTTTGATGCAAACTAAATAAATAACTCGAACAGGAGACATTGGTGACGTATACAAAGGTTGTCTTAAAGATAATTCTTTGTATTCAATTGCAAAAAATCCGGAATTGCTGAAACGCGTTTTCAAAGTCAAACATTTTGAAATGGAAAAACGTGTAGATGAAACAAAATGGTGGCGGGTGATAAAAAATATTGCAATTATTATAATGAAATCATCTTATTCACCTCCATTGGAAGAAATAAGCTACCTACATCTCAGAAGGTGCACAACAATAGAGGGCTACAGCATCAAAGCAGAACATTTTGAAGCTTTGTTCCGCCTTCTTCTCCAGAAATTCTTATTTAATCAAAGAGTAATACTCTCATCTTTTTTGCAACTCCAATTTCAGGTTCTTTTCTTTTCCTTACCTATGTATGAACTCTTATGCCAGATCTATGTTATTATTATTACTACTATGATTTGGTAACCTCCTTTTGATGGGCTATTTCTGTGCATATACGGATACTTCACGTTTGCACTTATGTTTGATGATGATTTTTACTTTTATCTGATGATAGGAAAAATACATTTTTCTGTTTGAAGCATCTTTTAATTGCTTTTGTGTTGGCAAATTCATGATGTCTTTAGTCATTTGTTTGAAAAACGCAAGTGTCACAAACATTTCAATTATAATCTTTGATGCCTTATTTTCGTATTCACTGATGCACTTGTGTTTCTTTTTATTTGAAACACAACTGTAACTCACGATTCATATATTATTCATGCGCATATGCTGCTTCCATGACCTTGTTATAATTTATGATTCCTGTTTACAAATTCCTCGAGTTCAATTCAAGATTAAGTCCCTATGTGTTATCAGAAGCTGACCAGCAGTGACTTCAGGGGAAAAATAAAATGCTTCAATTACAATATCCGTATTTAGTAACTGCCAATAGAATATGTTGCACTTCCTCGCTTTTGGTTTGGTTCTAAACAGTGTTAACGTTAATGATGCATAATGTGGACTCAAGACAAGTTCAGCAGAATTTTCGTGGTCATTGACAATGCTTCCCAAGTATATGTGCTTCTGTTGGTCAAAGCATACAAGGTCATCATCATCATCATCTAAAAAGCAGTCTCCGACAATAATAGAAGAGCTATGCTGTAAATTTTCCCTCGAGGATCTAAGAAAATCAACCAACAACTTTGATGAAAAACGAATAATAGGAAGAGGAGGCTTTGGTGACGTGTACAAGGGTCATCTTAAACATGATGAGGGAACTGATTATGCAATTGCATTGAAGCGTATGTATAGAAAATCACGGCAAGGGATCATGGAGTTCAAGAATGAAATAGAGTTGCTCTGCCAGCTTTGTCACCCTAATTTGGTCTCTCTTGTAGGATTCTATGACGACAAAAACGAGACAATTATTGTGTATGACTACATGGCAAATGGATCTCTCCATGATCGTCTATATTGCAAGGATATGGAACCACTTTCATGGAAGAAAAGGCTAGAGATATGCATAGCAGTAGCGCATGGACTGCACTATCTTCACACTGGAGCCAAACGCACCATCTTTCACCAAAACCTCAATCTCAATAGCATTCTTTTGGATAACAATATGGTGCCAAAAATCACTGGTTTCGGGCTTTCCTTACAGGGACCACGTTTTATTGCTGGTAAATATTTTATGGGTTTAGTATTACACAAATTACCATCAGTCATAGTCTCTCTAATTCTGAGAAAGTTGTTTTTTTTTCATTTTACACGTCAGCGATGTGACCGAAAAGAGAGGACAAAAAGCAACTTTTCAGATTTACACAATTGTCATACTTTGTTGTAAATCATTAAAAGGACACAACTTCTGTCCTTTTAAATAATACTTCTTTTTCGCATATTTTATATATCAATGACTTTTATATATCGAATTAGGAAACTGATACATAATTTCACTTACAGGTACATCTGGTTACAATGCCCCAAACAATACATTCACAGTTGAATATGACGTGTACTCTTTTGGTGTAGTTATGCTACTAGTGATATGCACAAAGGACAAGCAAACAATTTTTGACAAGATAAACAGAGTAGAGAACCAAAGCAAAGAATTAGAGAAGTTTATTAAGGTTACCCCAGCAACCATGGATATATATGACTTGGTGCACAGGTTCCCGGTTGAGGAGATGATGGATCCAATTCTCAAAGGAAAGATTGCACCTGGGTGTTGGGAAGTATTTATAGATATTGCAGAAAGATGCTTGAAGCAGGAACCAAATGAGAGACCAACAATGGGTGAAGTAGAGGTGCAACTTGAGTATGGTCTGGCACTGCAAGAGGAAGCAGATGCCACCAAGACTAGTGGTGATTTTATCTTATTATCCACAACCATTTTTAATACTGAGCCCGAGTAGGTGTTCCAATTTCACTTGAGAATAAACTGATGGTTGTAAAATTAAAAAAAAAAAAAAAATTCCTTTTTAATAAAAGGGAGTATGAGTTCGGTACTCTTGTAGTTCCGAAGAAATTTCCCTTCTTATACTGCGAAGGTCTATATATAGCATCACATAAGCTAATGCTGCAACCTTAGGGTTGAGAGGAGCATATCAAGGAAAGTTTTGCATTTGAGGGAAAGATTGTAGGATATTTAAGAATAATAGCTTCAACTTGAGCATGCTCTGTCATTGCAGGAAGAAGCAGGTATAGAAAAGACGAATGGTGATTATATCTTATTATCCAAAACCATTACTTATTTTAGCTTAAGCGAAAGGAGACTTCTATTTGTTGAATACGTATGAGACTGATCACTTTGGATGGGGAAAGCCCAAGTTGAGTGAAATGCTTCATGCAGATGATGGAGGAGTAATGTGCCTTTCTGATTGTAGGGACTAGGGACCAAGAATGTGCCGTTGAAGTTGGGCTAGTACTTAAAGGAATTCAAATGAAGAAATTCAATGGCATCATGGAAGAGCAACTTGGAGATATTGTTGTTTCTTAATGTACCCTCAGTTCCATGTAAATTGCATATGCGATACTTCTCTTGTGAACCAAAGTGCAGTTCCTGAAGTTTAAGCTCCAACGTTACTAGCTTGGGTTTTGTGAGTTATTGCCATGTTATAATAAGTTAAGATGTTTTTATTTTTGGATATAAGTATGAATTCAACATAGTTAGACCAAACCTAAGGCAAAAGTACAATGTTACAAACGTTTTTATCTTCGAAAATTAGCCACATTTAATATAACTGTGGTTAAATAACCTTCCACATTTTAGTATTTGGGCTCAATGGCTAAATTTTTATTGGCCCTAGCTGGATTGGGAGGCTGACTCCGCCACTGATAATGACCATCTACAATTATATTGATGGCACACTAATCATAGTATATCAAACGTAACTATGGTCATAATCAATGTTGTTACAAACGTAGAGCATACATAGAAACGGTAGGGGTTAGCAAAAATGTAAAATCGTAAAGCGTAAACGAAATGTAAGAGTTACTACGTAAAAAAAAAAACATATATAAAATCGAAACACATCAAATATAATATTACAATTTTTTTTGTTAAGTACTCAATGATAAAAATTTAAAGTATATTGGGCTGTAGCCCAAGTCCATAAATGAACTAGGAAAAGGTGAAAACTCTAATTGGTAGAGAAGCTCAAATTATGATTTAAGAAATTGTTAGAGATATTTAAAATTATTAATGTAGCCTCACCTAATAGCTTAAATTTTTGGGTTGAATTAGTTTTTTACATGGTATTAGAGTCTTTATATTATAGGTTCGTTCCTCACTGTCCACTTTAATTAATAATTAATTAAGTTTTGTGGAGTTTCTTAACACGAATAGGCTGGGACTGATGCGTCATCCTCCCTTCGAGCTCAATGGGCTCTCGTGTGAGGGGACGTTTTAGAGATATATAAAATCGTTAATAAATAGCCTCAGCTAACAGTTTAAGCTTTTGAGTTGAATTGATTTTTTACAGAAATAACGTCGCAGATGAAGACTTTAGAGTAGACCTTGTGAAACATACACACACACAACAAGTTGCAGTAGAGAGGTGTATTAGTGTTCCAAAATTTTTAAGCTCATATTGGTGTTCCTCACCCTTATTCTTCTACTTTGCAGCTCCTTCTCTCACGATAAACACTCAGACCGGCGAGTCCTCGTTTTGCTTGATGACTTCGCCGTCAAATCCTCTCACTTTCTGTTCTTCAAGTGATCTCTACAATCTTGTGGCTTCGATATTGATTTCAAGCTTGTCAATGACCCCAAGAATGCGCTCCAGAGATACGGCCAGTACCTCTATGATGCCTTAATTTTGTTTTGGCCCAAAATATCCTCCATTTTTTTTCAATACTGAGTCAACTCAGTAAAATAGTCTAGTCAATCGAGCTTACCGAGTCAACTCGGTATTTTAACCCAAATTTCATTCCAACCATGGTTCTGACACGTTTTTAGACCAAAAAACATAGAAATGAACTTTTCTACGGGTTGAAACGACGTTTTAACAACAATGTCGTAATAATAAGGTAGAAATGTATGTAAATAATAATATCTAGAAACGACATGTGAATGTTCTATCTCATGGTCAAGTGGAGCTACGGCCAACTTCTGATGGATCACATCATTCCATTTTTGGAGAGAGGTTTTTTACATGGGAGAAGCAACTAATATTGTACAAATTTTTTGTTAGAAGGTACAAACCCAACTTTGATTTAGTCCCCACCATCTTAGCTATGATTGAAAGACAACTTGAAACTCCACTACAAATAATAATTAGAAAGCTCCAAGTATGCAAGCTATTATTTAGCTAAAGATAAGAATAATTTAGATGGTGGGTGGGAAAAGAAAAGAAAGGGAGCTGGACATAATGTGTGGAAGGTGGGTTGTTGGACAATTATATAAACATGTATTATTAATGTTGTGATGTATTTTTAATATTTAATTGTATCTTGTTAGGCCAGAATTTTTAGCTATTCAAGTTATAAATTAAAGCTCATGTAACGTGCCTTGAGATAGAAGTGTAAGAGAATAGAAAGAGAAAGAGACACAAGTGAGCAATTGAAAAGAGAAGATAAAAAACAAGACAACAAGTGTGTAAGTGTAAAAGTGCCGTAGCACTTGTGGAAGTAAAGAGTGAGTGTTTGTGAGAAATTGTGTTGTATTTTTTGTCTTTTAGTAAAATTTTAATATAAAAGTTTCTTCTCCATTTCTTCCTTATATCCCTTAAATTTTCAACATTTTTTACATGTTAGTAGTTGACATCAATCCTTCTTGAAATCTAACCATCAGCAAATTAACACATGCATTTTTATTTTTTTATTTTTTGGTACAGTACAAGTTGACATAAATCCTTTTTGAAATCTAACCACCAGCAAATTAACACATGCAATAAGTTGTTTTTTAAGATAGTCCACAGTGCGACATACAAGTAACATGGATAATAAGTTAAGTGTGTATTTGGTAGGACTTATTTTCAACTCCTCTCCTCCTTAAAATAGAAAACAAACAAAACACTAATCAAGAACTCCTCGCCTATAAAGTCTTCTAGTGGTCATTCTTTCTTCGCTACAATATACAGTACTACTTTCTATTTTCTTCTCTGATTGAAAAGCATTCGATCTGGTTATTATTGCTAAAGTTCCATGGTTGAAGAAGTCAAGCATCATCACATGGTGAAGGTCATAGATCAGTGTCATGTTAGTCCTCCTTCATCTTCTGTTCCTTCCACCTACATTCCTCTTTCTGTCCTTGACATCCCTTGGCTTTCCTGCACTTTAATGAAATCGATTTTCTTCTATGAGTTCCCTTATTCTACACAGCACTTCCTTCAAACGGTGGTTCCTATTCTCAAACACTCTCTTTCACTCACTCTACAACGCTTCTTCCCCTTCGCTGGTAATGTCGCTTTCACTCCCAAACCCCACACTCCTCACATACTCTACTCCGAAGGTGACTTTGTCTCCTTCACCGTCGCAGAATCCACAGCAGATTTCACCAGACTCGTATCTGATTCCCCAAGAGATGTTAGAGATGCTCATCCACTTGTTCCCGTCCATCCTTCATCACGTACCTTAGAAGATGGCACATTGTTGCTACCAACCATGGCCATTCAGGCCACGGTTTTTGCCAACTCTGGATTCAGCATTTGCCTCACTTTCAGACACGAAATTGCGGATGGTAGAGCTTTTGATCATTTCATGAAATTTTGGGCCACTGTTTGTAGGTCAAAAGGGGACTTCACTTCACTTGAAGGCTCTCTTCCTATGCCGGTCCACAAAAGGGACATCATCGAAGACCCAAAAGGGCTTAAGCCCATTTTCTTGGAGACGAAATGGAATTTGCCACGAGAAATCATAGAAGACACGAGCCTTGTCCATGATGCTCCTAGCGACATGGTGCGCCATAGATTTATATTAAGCCGTAACCAAGTTGATAAACTAAAGAAATGGATCGCTTTCAAAGGTCAGAGTATGGGTGTAGAGACATTGCACTTATCAACTTTCGTTGTGACATGTTCTTTGGTTTGGGTTTGTAAGGTAAAATCAGAAGACAACAAAGTTGATAATGTTGCCAATAATGATGATAATTGCTGCTTGGTTTTTCTAGCAGATTGCCGCAACTTTCCTGAGCTTTCAATTCCATCCACATACTTTGGAAACTGCTTGACCAATGGGATTGCGGAACTTATGAGGAGTAAGCTAGTTGGAGAAAATGGTATTTATGAGGCAGTGAGTGTTATTGGAAACATGGTTAGAGTTCTGCGGGGTGATCCTATGAAAGGGGTTGAAGCGTTTGCGTCAGCAAGGGAAAAAATAGAGTTGAACGTGGAGCGTGTGTTGAAAATCGCAGGATCACCAAAGATGAACATGTATGAGACTGACTTTGGTTGGGGAAAGCCCAAGTTGCATGAAATACTTCATGCAGATGATGGTGCAACAATCTGTCTTTCTGATTGTAGGGATCACAAAGAAGGTGGCGTTGAAGTTGGGGTAGCATTCAAAGGAATTCAAATGAAGAAATTTAATGCCATCTTGGAAGACCAACTTAGAAATATTGCTATTCCTTAATCTGCCGTCAATTGAGCATGAATTGCACATCATGCACGACATAAGCTCCAATGTTACTAGCTATGGGTGAGTTAGTTAAGACCATGCATGTAATAATAAGTTAACAAGTTTTTAATTTCTATGCGTGTGAGTTATGGCCATGTAACAATAAGTTCACAAGTTTTTAATTTGTGTGGGTGAGTTATGGTCATGTAATAATAAGTTGGGAAAATTTCGAAAACCTCCCTATAATTTTTCTTAAAATCAGGTATCTTTTATGGTTATTTTTTTATTATTTATCCCCAATAATTATGGTCCATGTCATAAATAATTGTAGAGGGACGAGTTTTCTTATTCTAAAAACCAAAAAATTATTTTTAAAAAACAGTTATCAAAGAGAGCCTAAATTTAGGGGAAAAGACTCTAGCTTGTGTTAGGCAGTGGCGGACCCAAGAAAAATTATTTATATCTGCATATTTAATGCTGCCCCTGAATTTTTAGTGTTTAAAGAAAGTTTAAATCACCAAATGGTGGTAGCTCAGTTGGCGCATGGGAGCTGAGCAGGTGGGGAGAGAGCATGTGTTCGAATCCTCTCAGTACCACCTTTGGGAGAGGTTTAAAGCCTTAATCCTGGACCCGCCCCGAATCGGATTAGTTGCGAAGCGATGAACCGATTGGAATATTTCCAAAAAAAAAAAAAAGTTTAAATCAACGCTTGAACCCACTCGTAATCTAGTCGCTTTCATAACAAGCTGCCGGCAATAGTTTAAAATATATCGAACATATATAAAACCGAAACACACCAAATATAATATTACAAATTTTTTTTTGTTAAGTACTCAATGATAATAATTTAAAGTATATTGGGTCGTAGCCCAAAGTCCAAAAATGAACTAGGAAAAGGTGAAAACTGTGATTGGTAAAGAAACCCAAATTATGATTTAAGAAAGGGAAATAATTATCTCATGTTGCATGAGATAATTATCTCATGCAACAGAGACAAAGTAGTGGGGTCCACATTCTTTTTTTTTTAACAAATGGTGGACCCCACTATCTTGTCTCTATTGCATGAGATAATTATCTCATGCAACATGAGATTAATAGATCCCTTTAAGAAATTGTCAGAGATATTTAAAAATTATTAATGTAGTCTCACCTAACAACTTAAACTTTTGGATTGAATTGATTCATTACATGGTATCAGAGCCTCTATATCATGGGTTCGTTCCTTACCGTCCCCTTTAATTAATAATTAATTATAGAGTTTTTTAACACAGATAGGTTGAGACTGATGCGTCATTCTCCGTTCAAGCTCAATGGGCTCTCGTGTGAAGAGACATGTTAGAAATATATAAAACCATTAATATATAACTTCAGCTAACAACTTAAGCTTTTGAGTTGAATTGGTTCTTTACGGAAAAAACGTCGTAGATGAAGACTTAGTGTTCCCAAATTTTTAAGCTCATATTGGTGTTCCTCACCCTCATTCCTCTACTTTGCAGCTCCTTCTCTCTCGATAAACACTCAGACCAGCGAGTCCTCGTTTTGCTCGATGACTTCTTCGTCAAATCCTTTCACTTTCTCTTTTTCAAGTGATCTTTACAATCTTGTGGCTTCGATATCAATTTCAAGCTTGTCGATGACCCCAAGAATGCGCTCCAGATATACGGCCAGTACCTCTACGATGCCTTAATTTTGTTTTGCCCCAAAATACCCTCCATTTTTTCCCTGTACTGAGTCAACTCGGTAAAATGATCTAGTCAACCAAGTTTACTGAGTCAACTCGACGTTTCAACCCAAATTCCATTTCAACCATCGTTCTGACATGTTTTTAGACCAAAAAAACATAGAAACGAATGTTTCCATGTGTTGAAACGATGTTTTAACAACAATGTCATAATAATAAGGTAGAAATGTATGTAAATAATAATAGCTAGAAACGACATGTGAATATTGTCGTGTTCTATCTCATGCTCAAGTGGAGCTACAGCCAACTTCTGATGGATCACATCATTCCATTTTTGGAGAGAAGTTTTTTACATGGGAGAGGCAACTAATATTGGACAAATTTTTTACATGTCAGTGTTAGTTTGTTCATAATATATCATGTTCATAAATCATAAACAAGAACATGCTAAAGGATCTTGGGAATACATGATTTTCACATACACATAAGAGATAAAGACATACCTGGAAACAATGATGAAGGATTAACAAAAGTCATCATCTTGTGAGCAATTGTGTTAGGATAGTTTCTCTCTTTAAGCCTTCTTTACTTTGATATGTATTCTGATGGAGAGAATGACATTTGGGTAGAAGGGGAGAGAAGACCATTTCTAATATATATATATTCCATAACTCATAATCTGGTAAGTCCATTATATACCAAATCAAATCAATGATTGAGATTAAGTGTATCAGTAATTAATTGGGCCATATAACATTTAATGGGTAATATCAAGAATCTTAATATTATAATTATAATAAAATCCTTTTAATATTATAATTGATTCTTAATATTTTTAACATTCTCCCACTTGGCCCAATTAATCTTAATATACGTACATACATCTCTAATGTTAGTCATCATAAAAGATAAATTGACAAGTGTGAGTTATGGTGGTAATGCGCTATTAATTCAGTACATTCCCTTCCATATACTACAACACCAACAATCCATCATATAAAATTCATAATATAGGAAACATAATGGTCCACATAATGTCTTACAAAGACTTCCTTGTCAAGATTCATAATGTGTATACAACCATAAAATAACAAGGAAACATAATGTATGTCAGAAACACATAGGTGAGCTCAGAGTGTCACACATCAATAATCTTTAATACAACCAAGGCCCATACTTTAAACATGTTCTTGAAATAGCTTTGGTTGTAACCCTTTCGTCAAAGGGTCTGTCATCATGTGTTCAGTTCTGATGTGCATAATTGACACTCTCTATTTCTGAATCTCCTCTTTAACGGAAAAATACTTTAACTTTATACGTTTGGCACCTTTAGAGTATCATTCGTTCTTAGAGAAGAATACTACTGCAGAATTATCACATTAAATTTTTAGTGGCCTGCTAATGGTGTCGACAACCACAAGCCCTGAAATAAAGTTCTGCAGCCGTAATGCATAAGTTGTGGCTTCAAAACATACCACAAATTCTTCCTTCATAGTGGATGAAGCAATGATAGTCTGTTTTGCATTTTTCCATGATATGGCTCCTTGGGCAAACATAAACAAGGAGCAAAAGGTTGACTTTCTTCTATCAAGACATCCACCAAAATCTGAATCAGTATATCCAATGACTTTTAATTCATTGAACCTTTTGTACATGAGCATGTGATCCTTCGTGCATTGAAGGTACCTTAAAACTTTGTTTGCAGCTTTCCAATGTTCCATTCTTGGATTACTTTGATATCTGCCCAACATCCCGACCGCAAAATTGATATCCAGTCGAGTACAGGTTTGAGCATACATTAAGCTTCCCACAACATAGACATATGGAATTGATTCCATCTCTTTATGTTCAACATCATTCTTTGGACATTGCATGAGATTAAATTTATCACCTTTCTGTACAGGAACAACCCCAGGTGAGCATTTATTCATATTAAATCTCTCTAGAATTTTCTCAATATATCCTTTCTGAGATAGTAGTTATAGTAGTTCAAATTCTGAGATTAAAGTGCCATAGCAATGGTAAAACGCAGGAATGCGAATTTATTTAGAAAATCCATCATCCAAGAATTCCAGTACTGTATAATTGTTGCATTTGTGATTAGATATTTCTATTAATTTTGTTTAATACAAGTTTGATAAATACCTTGATTCATTTAGTCTTTTCTTAGTTTTAAAAGATTGATTGCTTAAAATTCAAGAAATTAGAAATAGGAATTAAAAATAAAACTAAACAAACCGTTCCTAGAGAACGATTATAATCTTCGGATTTTATTACCCAACAGAAAGTTGGAGATATTGCTGTTCAATGTACCCTCAATTCCATATGATTTGCATATGTGCTACTTCTTTTGTGAACAAAGTGCAGTGCCTAAAATTTAAGCTCCAACGTGAAATTTAGCCATGTAATAATAAGAAGCTTTTCACTTAGATGCGTGAGAAACTAGAAATGGTAAGGATCTCAGGTTAAATACAACTACTAGGTAGAAAGATCAAAATGTCTCGTTTTAACATTTTAATTTTCAAAATGTCACGCTTTATGAATAGAAGGGGAAAATTATATTTACAAATTTTTTATTTACAAACTCTTACAAACCACACTATATTTTACTGGTAAGATACAGTATGATTTGTAAATAAAAAGTTTGTCAATATAACCCTCTCTAAATAAAATACCAAAATGCAATATTTTAAGACCCACGGTCAATAAAAGCTCGGGCTCAATGGGTTTAAGACCTGTACGTAACTCCTAAATTCTAATAACGAGTCTCATCATATTATGTCACGGTGCTTAATATTACTAGGTATTGATTATGTAATCGAATATTGGGGAATATAATAACATGAAAATAAATCATCTCATATTAAAATTTTACATGACCTATTCATGTAAAATTTTTGTGTCTATCTCTTTCTTTATTAATTATCATTATATATACTAAGGGAATAAACATCATTGGAAAGTTTGATGATGTGTCACTCCCTCCTTCAATCTCACCAATGTGTTCACACTTGAGAAAGTTTGAAAAGTTTCTTCTTTTGGAATTTTTTTTAATCGAAAATTAATTTAAAATCCAAAATTAATATTAATTAGTGGAAAAAAGGGAATCATTATCTTTGTGGGGTTAGGCTAAATTAAAGTTCCACTACTTTATGCATGGGTAATTGTTAGGTGCATTTAATATTAAATTTGAAATGTAAATGATGATGCACTGCACACAATAAAAGAAGTTCAGAGACTTTTCAAGTCCATTTTGGAAGTTGTGTATATATATCATATGTTTTGCTTGGTTCTTCCCTTTTGTCATAGCCTTTTGTGATTCTTCCCCTCCTCATCCTCTGGTCAATGACTCTCTATGTTCTCTATCTATCGCTCTGCAGCAATTGACGACAACACTAACACTGTTTCCTCCATCATCAACCAATCATTTCATTTTCCCTGCATAATCTATCAAACTCAACACTGATTCTCCTTAACTTTCTTGAAACAACATAATTTTTTATCCAAAAAAAAAAAGCACACGAGATGGCTAGATGTTTCAGCTTCACTGCTTCGCGTGACAGGTGCTTCCGCTACTCCTTCTCGAACGCGGGTCTCAAATCCACCACCACAGATCTCGGCGATGGCACCGTTATGCATTGTTGGGTCCCCAAGACCCACAACGATTCCAAGTCTTCCCTCTTTCTCATCCACGGTTTCGGAGTCAATTAAATGTGGCAGTGGAGCGAGTTCATTTCCTCACTCCATTTTGGAAGGTGTGTATATATATCATATGTGCTGCTTGGTTTTTTCCTTTGGTCATCGCCTTTTGTGATTTTTCCCCTCTTCATCCTGTTCTTATGTGTTATCTGTTGTATCTTCATCTTCTCAACCTTTTTTGGTGTCAGATATGTACTCCATGTATGATTTCATTAAGGATCTTAATCCGTCGAAAGAGGAGTGGAGGATTAAGGTGAGAGTGGTTAGGACTTGGAAGGTTCCTAATTTTCAGCATAAATATTTTGACGACAATCTGGACATGGTTCTATTAGATGAGAAGGTAATACTTTGAGTTCTGTTAGTTTCTTTTTACTTTTTTTTTTCCATTTCGTTCTTTGTGGGAGCAACACGTGGATAAAGTGCAGTCCTTTTTGGAAAAGAACGAGTCTCCTCAAAACGTTGTAATCGTCCAGCTTGCAAGAATTAAGGGTTTTAGGGGTCACAAGCTTTAGTCACTTTATGCGAACAGTATGTGGATGAAATGCGAACGTTTTTGGCAAACAATCAGTCTTCTCAGAACATCATAATACTCTAGCTTGCGAGGATAAAGGGTTTAATTTTTTTTTTAATATTTGTTAATTATTTTTAACTCTTTTATACTCTAATTGTCTCTATATATGACAAGGATTATCTTGGACTCAAATGTACTAGAGGTTGTAGTCTTCAAAAAACGGTATCAAACGAGATCAAAATCGAACTTGATATTTTGTTGTTTAGTATCACTTATATTCAAGATTTTTTTCTTCTCAATTTTCTTATGTATCCTACACTATAATCCCCACTTCCAAGAATGAGACAATCTTATTTTAAATAATTTGACTTTTTGGCAAGAACATCTCTTTTTTGTTATTTTATTCCCTATCAATTCTTCAACTATTCCCTATCAATGTCTATTGGGCTTAATTTTAAGAAACATAAATAATTTAGATTGTTGAAAAAGCCACAAATCTTAATAATTATTTATTATTATTAATAACTCAACTAAAATGAATGACCATCCAACTTCTGCATAATAAAAGGATGTTTGCCATTAAGTATTTTATAGACTTTTACTTGGAGAATGTGCGCAACATTCTATGCATGTTTTCAACTACTTTATGTATGGAAAATTGTTAAGCCTATTAATAACATTTATTATTATGTCTATTTGGTGAAAAAATATTTTATATTTAAAATTTAAACTTTTTAAATTTGAATTTTAAACTTTATAGGTGGGAAAAGAGTTAAACATTTAATGTTTTCCACTACTTTATGCATGAAAAAAGTTAAGCATATTAATAATATTTAATTTTATGTCTATTGGTCTTAATTATTATACCTATTAGGATCAATTATAAAGCTAGAAAAAAGATATATAAAATAAATTTAAATTTAATATAAAATTATATATTAAATGAAAAAATAATTAAAATTGTAAAAATATATGTATAGTTGATAAAAATAATTTAAATTTAAAATTTAACTGAAAAAATAAGAAATGACATATTTATAATTTAAATAAATTAAATTAAAACATTAACTTAAAATAATGATTCAAAAAGAGAAAAAAATTCGTACAAGAAATTAAAAAAAAAATTTAACATAAATATTTTAAATTTATGTGAATAACCAATTTAAAATTAAATATAAAAAATTACAAATTACAAATATCATTATGTAAAAAAATAGGAAAAAAATCACTATAAAAATGTAAATTTTAATTTAATATATTAGATAGAGATTAAAGTTTCATTTTTTTGATGTAATAGTGTAATTAACACAATTTTCTATGTTGTGAATGGATAACTAGAAGTTATTATTTGAAGAATGTACACATACTTCTATGCATGTTTTCCACCACTTTCTGCATAGAAAATTATTAAGCCTATTAATGATATTTATTATTTTGTCTATTGGGTGGAAAATATTTAAAATTTACAATTTACAATTTTCAAATTTGAATTTTGAACTTGACAGGGGGAAAGATTCAGCATTTAATATTTTCCACTACTTTCTGCATGGAAAATTGTTAAGTATATTAATAATATTTATTATTATGTCTATTGGGCTTAATTATTATTCATATTAGAATTAACTATAAAACTTTAGAAAAGATATATATAATAAATTTAAATTTAATATAAAATTACTGATTAAACAAAAAAAATTTAAAATTATAAAAATAAATATATAGTTGATAAAAAATAATTTGAAATTGAAATTTAAATGAAAAAAATAAGAAATGAAATATTTATACTTTATAAGAAAATAAATTAAAAGCTTAACTTAAAAAATAGTACAAAAAGTTAAAACAAATTCCGTACAAGTAATTTTAAGAAAATATTTAATATCAAAGTTTTAAATATATATGTATAACCAATTTAAAAATTATATATAGAAACTATTAATTAAAAGAGAAAAAACTAATTTTTTTAAAAATACATATAAATAATACAAAAGAATTTAAATTTTTTTAAATTTAGATAAAAAATTAATAATGATATCTATCATTCTGTAAATAATAAATTATAAAAATTTGACCACTATACAAATGTAAATTTTAATGTATTAAATAAGAAATAAATTAAATTTTCATTCATTTTATGTAAGAGTGTAATTAACACAATTTTCTATGTCGTAAGTGAATAGTAGAAGTTTTTTTTTTGATGAAGAGTGAATAGTAGAAGTTATTACTTGGAGAATGTGCACATACTTTTATGCATGTTTCCTATTATTTTCTGCATAAAAAATTGTTAAGCCTATTAATAATATTTGTTATTATGTCTATTGGAAGGAAAAATATTTAGTATTGAAAATTTAAACTTTTTAAATTTTAATTTTGAACTTTATAGGTGGGAAAAGATTCATCATTTAATATTGTTCACTACTTTCTTCAGGAAAAATTGTTAAGCATATATTAATAAGAATTATTATTATGTCTATTGGGCTTAATTATTATACTTATTAGAATTAACTATAAAACTAGAAAAAGATATATGTAATAAATATAATTCTAATATAAAACGAAAAAAATATTTAAAATTATAAAATTATATGTATAGTTGATAAAAAATAATTTAAATTTGAAATTTAATTGAAAAAAATAAGAAATGACATGTTTATACTTTAAAATAAAATAAATTAAAAGCTTAAAATAATAGATTATTCCTGAGGGCCGACCTACCCTGCCTGC